ATGCTTAAAGAAAGAAGAAAATAAGCTGACGGACTGTGCTGTCCATTTGCATAACTTCAGTGAAGATCACTGCCATGCATGGTTTAAATGTCTGAAGGAAATTGTGAATGGTAAGTACTCAGCTGGAGTTCATTTAGTTATTATAATTTTAGACTTGTTTCTGTTGGCAATATGTGGGGTTGAAYGAAGCTTAGAATAACATTTTGCCTGGAAAAAAGAAACACACAAAATATGATACTAAAAATGTAAATGTTACGGCTGAGCAATGTTCTGTAGTACTAAAGGTCTGTACATAAAAAGCTAATATATCCTAATTGAAGAGTCTTCTGAGAAACCTGGTTCTTAGATTTTATGGATCTCTCTGCTCACAGTTAGAGTGCATTTAAGGATGCTGCAGTTAGTCTTTGGGACTCCTCAGCTGGGGCTGTTCAGGAGCCACCACTTGAGAGCCATGCTCATTCTCTAGGAGATGGGTTGGATATAACAACTTTCCTCTGCCTAAGTTCCTAGGGGAAGAGGGTCCTTGGGCTTGGGAGGGCTCTTAGGGCTCTCTTAACTAAGCAAGTAGCCTCTGTCACCTGCAGGGGACTGTGCATCGAAGRTGATGGAAGAGGGGAAAAGCAGATGTAATCACAGTCAGAGAGGGAAAAGCACTGGAATTGTTGGTTGTTAAAACCTGCTTATAAATATTTTCCTCCCTTGTGTTATGTTAGGTCTTTGCAAATTCCCTCCTGAGGGAGGAATGAAGAGAGGCGATGCACACTCGTCCTTCAGAGGGCGAGGACGTGGGAAGGCAGGGAAGTACAAGAGCCTCAAAATGCTCTTGGCACAAGGAAGTGGATCCCAAGCCGTGGCATCTCTGTGGAGAGGGTGCTGTGGAGGACCCTGGTTACTGCAAAAGTGCTTGGGTCAGTGGTTCCCTGGGCCATTAGGAGATGGTAACAATTCTCGTTCTCATTATCRTTGCAACGTAATCACTCTGCTAATTGCTTTTGCTGTAGGGAGGCTCTAGCAGCAAGGGCCTGCGTGTGCAGAACTGGTGTAGCTGGGAGGCCGGGGCCGTCCTTCCTGGGAGGGGAATTTGCGATCCCGGGAATTCTTTGCATTTCTCCTGGGAAAATGTCTTGAGTGGGAAGCAGCCTTGGGGAAGAGGTGAAGGAATTGGTACTTCTAAGTAGTAGTTGTTACAGACTTGGTATCGCATTAGAACAACAGTCACAGAGTTTAATTTTTATCAACTACTGTTTGGAGCTTCAGTGTTTATGTGGTCAAGATTTTGCAGCTTTCTCAAGCTTTTCTGTGGGTGTTAAAAACTTGAGGTTATTAGACCCATGTAGTGAGCATATGCTGAAACAGCCTGGTGTAAGGACATCAGAGAGGTGCTAAATCATCCAGTCATATGAACCCCTTAGATTCGTCAGGATGTGCAGTAACAGCAAGGAGCAGGCAACAGGGTTTTCGTGTGTGCTCTGTGTGTGATATCTTTGGAGGACAAAGGTTGCATATTTCTGTCCCCTAAAACACGTTATCTTTGCTGGTTAAATTTTCTCCCATGTTAGAATCATGGGAGGGGGGAAGTATAACTTGATATCAAATATATTGATACTAGGTAGCGATGAGGGGCAATACATTATTTAAAAAATATTGTTCTGTTTGCCTTGGTTATTGGTAGTGCCACAGTAGTTCCTCCTTTTAGAAGTTTTATCAAATTTAAGAAAGATTTTTTTCCCCTTTTTAGAGGAGAGAAAAAAAAAAAAAAAARAAAAAACCTTTAACTCCTCACTGTAACATGATGACTCCAGTTTTGGAAAGACACAGAATACGGTGCATTAGTGATCTTTTAAAAACAAAAACCAAAGCAGTCTGATATGTCTCTTGTTGCAGACTATAATAGAAGAGTGTGTTTACTACAGAAGAAAAACAATCCCAATTGTAACAGACTATTAAAACTCAACTGAATTGTTAATATAAGTAAGATTAAAGAATACAAATTTAGCAAATCTACAATGTAAAGAAGCAACATTTTCAATAGTGATTTATACTGTATTTCTATTTAATATACTTTGTCTATAGCAGATATTAGAGAATATGTGATAACATGYGTATTAACGGTGCATGCTTATATTGTTTGCTTATGATTTATATTGTATTCTCCAACTAAAAATATGKATTTAACAGAAAGCACCTTTCTTCACCCCTCTGGAAAGGTTTATCTGTAAATATCTAAACTCACAGAAGTGCCAAGATTCTTGCAGATCTCCAGCCCCCCATAAAGGCAGGGACATTTGCATAAGGAGCAAATGTCTGTTTTGTTCCCGCGTTGCCCTCCGTCCATCAGGAGCAGTGGTGCCATATGGTCACATCTCCTGCTCAGGTTGCCTTGACTTCAAGGTGCAGTCTTTCTTTCACTGCTTTCTGACTGAAATCTGTCTGAACCTGAAAAAAAAACCACCCTTTCTGTGCAGGGCTGCTGTTTCTGCTGCTTCTGTCTCTTATCTTTCTCCAGGAGCCAAACCTTGCACAGATTTTTCTTCATCTCCAAGCAGTGCATTTTTTTTCTTCCTTTCCTTTCTACTTCAGGAGTCATCAGGAATCAGAACAGCAACACGTTCCTCCCATATAATTTAGTGAAGTGATTTTTTCTTTTTTGAAGTTGTGTAATTACAATAGAACATTTTCTGCACTGTTAAGTTTTGAAGCCTGAATGGAATTTCCAGCCATATCTGTCCGGAAAATCAGCGAATCCTCAGCAGCATTTTCACATCCAGTGTTGTGGAGACACATTAGCAATTTAAACAGCCAATTACAATTGTCAATTTGCAGTGACTATATAACTCACAAAATTGTTCTACTGCTTTAAAAAATGATGGAAACTTTGTCAGGAAGTTCCTAATGGGATATAAGTATGGCCTAAGTGTTTACAAGGCAAGTGAGTTTTTCTGAGTCTTCAGTAATTAGTCATAGTAGGTACCTTGATATCTCTGCTTGAAATGGTGATGAATTCTCATAGACTTTCTCACAGCTTGTTTTCAGAATGTGTTTTCAAGTCACATCATTGTTGACAAACTCACCAACTGGCTCCTTTTGGGTTGCTTATGATCTTTTATGGAGCACATGGATGTTTTATGGAGTTAATTAAAGGATGCTACAGTACCTGACCTTAGGCTTTTTTAATGTCAGTGTGACATGTGCTACCATCCTGCTAGTTTTAAATAAAATCTTCTTTTCTGCATAACTTTGCTTTTGTTCAAATGCTTACCTGCAAGGTATGAAGAACTTGGTCAATAAAGTGTTATTCAGAAGAACTACTGTCTTTTGCACCATGCATATGAATATCCAGGGTTCTGGACAGGTGCCTTGAAAGCCCTGAACTGCAACATAAGCCGTTCCTAGGACGCTGTTGAGCTCCTGACAGACGTGGGGCTTGTCTGACTCCACGACTCGCATGTATATGTGTATGTTGAACCTTCCGTATGCACCTGTGGGCATGTGCAGTGCACAGACTGCAAACACCAGCGAGATTGCCTGTCTGCTTTGGAGGCCTCCGTGCATGKGAGCGCTCCTGGTCGTGCATAGGGTCAGCGCAGACCAGGCAATAAGAGAAAATAGATGGTGAGCGATGTTTGCTCGGGCCTTGCTTGAAAATAAATAGCCCTGGTTGCATGTAGGCTCGTTAACATCTGATCTGAGATATATTACTTTAAAAACTGTGAGCCATATGACAACAAATACAATTGAGAATAAATGATAAAGTAGCTAAAAACTCATTAAGTGCATTTTGTTTTTACATACTGCTCTGTAGTACCCTGTCTCACCATGGGATTTGATATGAATGTCTCAAACTTCACGCATGAAGTTTTAATTAAAAGCATTAGTGTTAAACGTTAACTTGTGTTAGTTAATATTAACAGCGGCGTCTCCATAGCTACGCCAACAGCTCCGCTTGGTGCCGTTCGCTCTCCTCGGGTGTAATATTCCTGGTGTTGTGCAAGGTGTTGGTAAGCGGTGCCGTGATGCCGGGCCCTGCAGGTGGGCGAGCAGAGCCCCACGGCGCTCACGCTTCCCCTGGGCCTTGAACCGATAAGCTCGGAAAATCTCTAAGGATGCTTCGCTGGGCACCCTGATCCATGGCTTAACCGCCCTTGATGTGAAGAATTTCAGATTTTTTTTGTTTCAAATTGAGATTTTCCTTGCTGCATCTTTGTGTTTGTATCCTTTTGCTGTGTGCCTGCAAGTCTGGCTTGGTCTTCTCTATTACCCCCATATTGAGGACATCAGTGAAGTCTTTTTGAGGTTGTACAAACCTAACCTGCCTCAGCCTCTCCTCGTGAGRTGTTGGGTCCCTCCCCTGGCCATGGTTGCAGTGATTTTTCCTCTTAGGATTTTTCCAGGTTTCAGTGGAAAGTCCAGAAGATGGAACATCAGAGAGCTCTGCAGCGTAACGCTTTTAGAGAAAAATGCTTGCCTAAAATGTGTGCACTGTCTACTAAAATAACACCATCAAAATGTATAGAACCCTTGGTTTTGTATGTGCTTATAGTAGTGGCAAACTAGTCTATAAAACTTTGTTCAATATCTTTAAAAATGTGCTATTAAAGGCAAAATGAGAATTTATGCATGAAGCAATCGAATAAAAAATTGCTCAAATCATATTTTTAAATAACTATCAAAAACAGTGGCATTGCATGCCACTCACTTTTACTGTTTATTAGCTGTATGTTAAGTGATCAGAACTTTCGGGCACCATGCTGTAACCTTCTGAGAAACAGAAGGTACTTCCAGTAAGAGGTTGAGACTTTTTAGTTTGCAATTTTTATCTTCCTAAAGCGCTAATAACACTGCTGATATTAAAAGCTCTGTTAAGCTGGAAAAATGGCTGAGTTTTGTATATTCTGAAATTCTTCGTGTTTTCTTTTTAGGTTTTCAAAATAGACCCAAATCCTTAAAAGTGTTTGTTAATCCAAGCAGCCACAAAAGAGAAGCCACGCATGTTTATTATGAACAAGTTGCACCTCTGTTTAAGCTTGCAGACATCAAAACGGATGTCACGGGTAAGTTGCTGCAAAAGCACAGTTTAATCCTGCTTGCAACTAGTACTTAAGCATTCAAGACAATTTGAATTTACTGCTAATCCTTATTGGCTTTGTCTGCAAGTAGCATATTTGTAACTGCGGGTAATAGAATGCAGGATTTTTTTGTCAGCAAAAAGGTTTTGGTAATTCCATTATTAAATAACTTTATGGATTTCCCCTTATGGATATCAGTACAAGTGATACAATATCTTTTGTGCTTTTAGAGCAAACATCATATTAGAAGAGGAAGGATGTGTAATCACTGACAGTCTTGTGTATGTATTTATGTGTTTTGGGGGAGTTTGGGCAGGTAGAAAGTGAGTGTGCTTGGAAGGTGTCTGAGTATTCGGGCTCCAAATTCCTCTGGACTTCTCTCCACACATCATAAAAGTCAACTGCTTAAGTGGAATAAGTGTTGATTATTCTAGTGCAGCAACAATTTAGGAAATTTTAAAAATTAGTCATTTTCCTCATACTTGGACGAAATGTTTTTCTGAAATCACATAAGYATAAAACGTATTTCTTTAATGTATTGAAGATCAATTGGGAATATTGGAATATATTGCTTCTATTCAAATAATAGTTAAGGGATCCAGACAGTATCTAGGTCCTTTTGTGGTGATTCTTGGAAAACATGTAGAATCTGAAAAACTTTATAGATCTGTTTAGGTCCTTCTGCCTTTAAATGTTGAGCTTCAGGGCAATTCAGTTAGCTTTCTGGTTTCATCTTTATCTATCTCTTCTGAGCATTTCTTTAAACTCAGTGAAATTTCTACTTGCACAATGCCTAGAACATTATTTTTGTGCCTCTGGAGGAAAGGAGAGGGCACAACGAGCAGTTGTTCATCTCCTCTGCTCCTCTTTTCTTTGCAGCAGTATCCTCGACACGGGAGGAAGATGGCCAACCCTCTGCTAGTGAAGGCCTTGGTGGGAAAAGGCAAACCCTAATCCTGTTTGGTCTAGACAATGCATTTACAAATAATCAGATACTCCAGAGACTTGCAGTTAAGACCAGCAAAGAGCTCGCTCAAATATCTAAGCATGTTGCCAGTGGAATGGAGCACAGACCCCTGTATCAGGCACTGCCCTGTGTATGGTGCATGCACAGACTTGGGGAGAGCCCTGGTCCAGACTGCCCCTGTCACAGGCTGCCCTCAGGTAGCCCAGGGTGGCCTTAGCGCTCCCATGTCCCTGGGCGGCACACGTATGGGAGTACCCTGCTAATGTGGGTGTTGAGAATTGCTCGTGCAAGATCAAGCAATGTAAAATTGACTGAAGACTGAACACAGGAACGAGCACAAAGAGGAATTCAGTCTCAGAATTAGTGGTCATTTCTTAAACGCAGATTTTCTTAATCTCCCTTTTTGAGACAAGGTGATGTTAGCCACTTTATATAAATTTTAAATTTCACATAGCACATGTTTCACCTGCAGGACACAGGGATGGAGTAAACAGGTTAATAGCAGTGCTGCCTTCTGAGCAACTGAACATAGCCACTTCTGGTCACAGGTTTTTTTTTAGGGGTGCAAACCTGYGTAAGAGGTTACTAACCCAGAATATATCATGTTTCTAAATTAGCTATTTTATTTGAAATAACTAGCTTAAAATTATCCATCTTTTATTTCCCTGCTACTGGTTATTGTTTTGACTATTTATTTTTATAGTAGACATAACCTGATTTGTTGCACTTTTAAAGGCAGCATTCTCATCAACATATAGTGTTACCATTCTAGCTGTATAATATCAGTTRGAATCTTTAAAACTGAAATAATAAGCTAAATCTGTGTTAATTTTATGGATTAATCCATATAATTTAATATGAACTATAAATATAATTGATTCTAAAACTGTATTTTGGTAACTGAATAAAAACAATTTCAAGTTATTTAGTTTTGAAAAGTAACTTTTGATTTTAGCTGGGTAAATGTTTAATGGCGTACCATTAAAATAAGCTTCTTTTGGTGATATCCAAATGTTATTATGCTTATTAGCTGCCTAACACTCCTCCTACAGGCAAAATGAGATAACTACATTAGTTTTAAGTGCTCACAGAGAAGTCCATAATTATGAACTACATAATAGAAAACCAGTGTTCATTAGTACTCTCTTCTAATAAAACTAAGTGACTCTTTTCAAGTAAATTGAATGTCTTTCCCCCTCCATTGTTTGGGATTTCGTTTATGAAGCTGTGGTGTCACTAATGCTAATTTTCTGAAAGATTACTAGTGTAGGTAAGTATTAAAAATTGAAGGCTTCCACCAGATGGTCTCTGCACCAAATACCTGGGATTGGGATACAGCTTTTAGGAGGAGGAGAGAGAACAATTCTGAAAAATCAAGTTCAGTCAAACTTGCTCTAAATTTGGGATGTCCCAAAGTTCCGATAAATACTGATAATTGGAGCCATTATTTTAGAAATATATGACAGTCTTGCTAAGTCTTCAACTTGAAATTAGGAAAAATAAATGAAGCAACTTGACCCGTCTCCCGGCCCTCCAAACAAGCTGGCTCATTTCACTCCCTCRTTCTGAGTCTTCTGCTCCCGTTTATGCAGTGCAACAAGCTGGGATAGAGGCTATGCGAGAGCTGCCTGCTCCCCTCTTCCTGCTCTGTTTCTTAGGCAGCCACCAAAGAAAAAAGAATAAATCAGAATTTGGGCCAGCATTATCAGTTTAAATTTACTACATGTGCTTTTCTTTGCTGCAAGTGTTAACACCAGTTAATCTGTTGTTCTCATTAGTGGTTTTAATCCTATTGGCATTAGTCTACGACCAGAGTGCCTGTGTTCAAACGTGTCATATGGAGCTGTCCCACGTTTTGAAGTGTTGAACTAGTTACGTGTTGCTTTTCTCTATCTTTATGTAGGGGCTCAACTTTTAGTTTCTTATARACTGCATGAAAAATACAGTGCTCTGGTGTTTTTGATTATGCACCTCTCTGTTCAGAGAAGCTACCCTAGCAGTGCCACTCATTCAGCTATCATTGCTTGAGACTTCATGGGTGCTCTTCAATTGAAGCTGCCTCGAGGGGGCGGGGGGAAAGCTTTAAGAAATATTTTTGTGGCATGATTTGTCTCTGGGCATGTGTTCTTTTACAAAATAAAATATTTCAATTGTTTCCTTTTAAATGAACATAAAGACACTCAGTTTTGTGCAATATGATTTGGTTACTGACTTTGTTTTCATGGGAGGGTTTTCTTTAACAGTAATGYAATGGTCAGATGTTTGAACCTTTCAGAATTTTCTGACTGCAGGCACACAATATAAAACTGTATCARTTATCTTTTTATTTAAGATTTTCCAGAACACCAAACACTACAACTGTTAGTGGAGTTTGGGAAATTTTGCAGTTATTTACTGATGCAGATAACATGGAAAAGTGTAGCAAATTATATCACTCATATATATATTTATATAAAATGTGGATATATATGCACACAGACACGCATATATGAAAAGCAATTATTGATGTTAAGGAACATTTTCCATATACAAGTAAGATGTGAGCGTGCGCGCGCGCACACACACACACACACACACACACACACGCACAAAGGAGTAAGTGCTGAGTTCTTGTCAGCAGCATTTGAGTGGTTGGTAGAAATACCACATTACAACAGGTACAGATATGGCATGATTGTTTTAGACACCAAGGCTAATAATTTTAACAATATTTAGAAACACTGGAGAAAAGGCTTTGAATATACTAGCACCAAGGACAGACAAGCATGAAAGATTAATGTAATTTTGCATATAATGATGCACATTCTTACACAAAAAATCCATCTGCAAGTGTCATGTCAGTCAGCAAAAATCTTTGATGGGTGGATGCAGCTGGGCTGTCTCTTCTGGCAAAGCTGGCCTAGAAAATGCTAAATGTGGTTATGATGCTCTGTGCCATCTGTAGTATGCCAGTTTATCCTGTCTTCCCTGGCATTTACAGTACTGCATGGGGTATCCACAAACACAGAGACGTCGATGTAGAGTGACAGATTCATTTCCTCCAGAGGCTATGAACTCTGGTGCAGACTTGTGCCACCTTCCCCTCTCTGTTATATTCTGTTGTCACTGGTATTTGGCTTCATTTCATATTTCTGTGTTCGACTCCTCATATTTTTGATTTAGCAATTTGCATATCCTAACACAAAGGCAATTAAATTTGATTGATACTGAAATATCTCAGTCTTCATTGAGGATGAGCATACATTTTCCTGAAGTTTACCAACTGCCAACACTAAAACTTCTATTTTCACGCAACAAACATTTTCTTTAATTCTCTGAATTTAAATGCACTAAATAGGAGTATGTTTTGTGCCAACAAAGTATTAATATCATTTTTTTTAATGTAAGAGTAAAATATGTCTAGCTTTTTATACTTCCAACATATTTGATGATCAAAAAAACATACTGAGCTGATTTAATGCATACTCCTTATGTTAAGGATCTGTTAAGTTAACTATCTTGATATTTTACTAATGTTACTTTCCACAGTAACCGAATATGAAGGCCATGCTCTTTCAGTACTTAAAGAATGTGAACTCCAGGCATTTGATGGGTAAGTTGGCTTGTGGTAATGAATGGAAATAAATGCTGTTGCATCAGTTTTTATTTGTATTCCATCCTAAATTATGCCAGAATGTGTTTCATGAGTTACTGATTCAGATATATTAAGATTGAGAAAGCAGTTCCCATTGAACATTGTGTTTCTTTTAATAATTATCACTTATTGGCACATATTTACGTCCGATTCTTGAAAAACATCATATTTTTGTTTTGTGTATCTTTGTGTAAAGACCTCCAAGTAGTTCTCCTGCAGGATTTGCCTCCAGTAGCCAAAGCTGAAGGGAAGAGGAACAGAAGAAACTGGAAGATTGAGGATTATTTAAGAGAGATTCCTGCCCTTTCTAGGCTATTGTAAAAAACAAGTCAGGATTACTTTTGAGAAGGGAGCTGCTTTTTTTGTCTTCTCAGATAAGTGGCTTTTTCTTTTAAATTTGACAATTAACTAGGTTTTGTTATCAGAATATTGTCATCGGTGTTATCAGAAAATCAGAAGGAGGAAAAGTGACAATGTTGTTGCTATTCCTGTGAATCTTTTTAAGAACAACAAACGCACACTCCCAGAATGAAAGTATCTGTTTTCCAAAATATATCTGTTTTCCAAAATATCTGTTTTCCAAAATTAAACCTCTCTAGGACAGTTTATTGACTAGCAAAGATTCTTGGATTTGCTCTGGTACCACAGACTTTTAAACTCAGGAATCAATGAGACAAACCTCAGGAGATTACCGTACATAGGCTCAAATAGAAAATATTCCAGACTTTTGCATATATACTCTTACTTTTTTGATAAGGGCTGTGTTTAGCTAGAATGCAGAAGCAATACTCCTGAAAATTTAGAAATGAAGAAATAATTGGGAAATAATAGTAATAGAAGCAAAGAAAAATATTACGGAAGCTGAGATAATCCAAGGTAATAACATCATGGGTATTTTCTTACAAAGAGCTTACTGGTTTTATCTGTCTGAGTTATTGGGCATAATTTTCCAACCACATTCAGATTTATGAGATTTTAAGTAAACGTCTTCCAAAGTAAACCCGACCTGCTTAGAAAAACCTTTAACTGTAGAAAAACTGTTAACTTTCATACACAGTGATCCAGAGAATCACTTAAGAGCTGCTTAAAACAAGGAGATGACAGCAGGAGGAGAAGCCACTGGCCGCGGCAGGGCCTTGCAGCCCTCTGCGTTCCTGCGTGTCGGCAGGCGGGTCTGGCTGCGTGCAGCGAGTTGCACCAGGCCTCTCCACCGCCCTGCTGCGTCCCCAGCTGCCTGCAGAGCGGTGCAATCGGCTGCTCTCAAAGGGCATCTAGTTTTGTTGCAGTATTGGAGCTGTTATTAGACAGCGGTTAAAAACTGTGGAAAGGCCATCTGGGTCAGGATTGTAAGATTTAGAAAGCTTCTCCACTTGAGCATGTGTCTAACTCTACTGATTAGTTCTTTGGCTCCAGTGTTAAGTGTTCTATGTATATTTTACCTAACATATGTTACAGGTAAGTGGTTAAACTTCTAAATACTTATTTCTATTCAGAAGAAAGCAGAAATAGTGACATTTATAGTGACATTTATGTTTTGTTAGTTAATGTTTAATGATCTGACCGGGAAGCCCTAACTTATTATTTAAAGAGTGGAATGGTTATAACTATTCRAAGTATCATTATATAGATGATATACAACAGCCACCTTCCATTTGTTTGATCAGCTGTGAAACTCTTCATCCTGCCCTGCTTAGCATCTGTATTTTGTAATAGGGTAGTTTGTGTCGGTGGAGATGGAACCGTCAGCGAAGTTGCTCATGGTCTGCTGCTTAAAGCCCAGATAGATGCCGGAAAAGACACAGACTACGTACCCAGGCCTGCCAGAGCACCCCTTCCTCTGGGAGTTATACCAGCAGGTGAGGTCAAAAGTACCACTACAGTTTAGTTTTAAATCACTCTGGCACGTTATGTAGTTTGGACTACTGAACCTTCAGTTACTTGAGAGATGTTGAATAAAGCACCTAAATTAGTGGTTTAGATTGGTGGTACTGTGCGCCAAATGACTACATTACAAATTACTAGATTTTAAATCACAAGAATAATGTATATTAATTATCTATTTATTATTTATATTAATGGCATTTATTTATTATTTATATTAATGGCACAGATGAGTTTCTAAAGAAAGAAGCTCTAGAAGAAAATTAGAATTCCTTTCAGTTGATCCATGTTGAGAGTAGCTAATTTTGCCCTTATCTTCAGGCAGAAATCACACAAAACGCAAATTTTTATTTGATGAAATTGGCCTCATATAAGCYATTGTTTTATCTTCTCCTTTGAATTTTTTGAACAAGTTCTCAGTTGTATTTGTCCTTAGGGTTTGCTTATAAAAGGTATCCCAGGAAAATCTTTTGTACTTTATATAGGAAAAGGTATAGTGCACACAAAGCTGCATTCCACAGGTCTCAAAAAGCATCTCTTTTTGAAAAATATATTCCCTCCTTTCTTATTGTGTTGTCTGATTTCATCAACTTCTGTCTTGTTTTCTGATTTTGTTTTTTTTTTTTTTTTCTCACAGTTTTTCTCATCCTTTTAACAGTGTAATCTGGACTATACAGAGAAGATTATCTAGAATAAATACAGACAGGGGTAATTCTGCTCTGGTGTCTGAATTACTTTCATAAAAGAGTAGCTTTGGGGTTTTTTTGTTATTTTGCATGGACAATGCCCTCTTGTGCAGATGTTGGTGTGAATACTTTGCAGTTTTTCAAATGTTCTCAACTAGTAAGGAAAAAATCCCTGTAGCCGAGTGAATAGCAAATCATTCTTTTCAGTTTCCTGAAAAACAAACATACAAATAAACAAACAGAAGCAAATTTTAGGCCAGCAGTTTGCTTTGTCAGCTGGGTTGTGGTGAACACCTCGCTGACAGGGTGGTGACCAGGCCTCTCTCCAGCCCTGGCTGTTTGGGTTTGCTCTGGTTCCTGCTTCTCCTCGTTGATCCTGAAGCCCTTCAGGTGGACACTATAATGTTTTAAGATCAAACGAGGTGTGTGCACCCAAAAGAAGCCCCAATATCACACAGCTGGAGGCAGTCTGCATTACAAGGTGATGAGACCAATGTATATAATAGCAGGAGAAATTTCTTAACAGATAGAACAAATGTCAAGCTTATTGTATTTCAGTATCATGTTATACACCAATTGTCCAAAAATGATCCCATGGAAATAGGTAAGTATGATATTTGTGTATCTGCAAAACTTGCAACCAAATGCCAATTAATCTTTTTTTAATCTCCTCCAGAAATCCATTATACCCAATATAAAGATATAATAGATGAGTAAGAACGGGCTATGTATAGCACTGCATTACTGGAATGGATTAAAGCGTGGGCTCGGGCCTCTGCTACGAGCAGCTAAATCAGCCCCTCGACGTTCGGGGTGAGGAGCTGCTGTGGCCGAAGCCGGCGCCTCCCGAGGAGACGGGTCCGGAGCGGGTGGCTGTTTTTCCTGGAGCGCCCCGGGGAGCAGCAGGCCAAGCTGCTCYGGGCCAGATCCAAGGCTGGGCCTTTGCGGGATGCGAGCAATAGGGAATGTTGCTATGGGAACTCCTGCTAGGGAAGATGCAGGTGGGAGGGGGATTCGCATAGAGGGGAGGAGGGCCTGGAAGGACATTAAAAACAGCTCCTCGGTCCTTACAGAGCAAGAACCGATCTCTGTCTGATGGCTGCAAACCCTCTTTGTCCTCTGTGGCTCATTTAAATAAATTCATGATTTCCAATTAATTTGGAAACAAAGTACTACGGAGGGACTGTTAATTTCTGCGATATTTCAGGCCAAGAACCAAAATGTTGGTGCAGTTTTCATCAGAATTTTAGATATGCTTGACTAGGAAGTCATTACATCACATTTATGTGTTTGGATGGGGGAGACATTAGCAGCCTTATGAATATTCATATTGTCTGGTTAATTAAGTTAATTGCACTGCAGAAGTGCTCGCACTTCCAAGGACGCCCCTTCCTTTCCCTGCCTYCCCACTAGTTTCTGCCAGGTCCCTTCCTCAGTCTGGCTTTTCCAGACCTGCAGGCACCTTGTCCCGCAGGGAGAAGGTTGCAGGAATTTGTTTGCAATGTCAAGAAAACACGTTAATGGGCTGATCTTTTTTTCAAGCAGAATTATATTTATCGAATAGTAAAGTCTTTTTTCTTAGATAAAATATAYAGTGGTGATGAACATGTTGTTGTACAGTGGAAACCTTCTCATGCTGTTCTACAGTGTGAGCACACAGATGAGCAGCAGAAATGCTCACCACAACCTCCATCGCAACGCAGGTGTGTTCAGTTTGCATTGCAGCCTCATGCTCTGTACGGTCCCGTGCACGGCCCTGGCTCTGCTTCCAAAGTCTGGAGACCCAGAGGGGAGCGGGTCCGGCTTTCCTGGGGGGCAGAAGGGGCTGGAGCTCTGTCTTGTTTGTTGCTGCACATGCTAATGGGCTCTATGGACTTAAGGCTTCGGTTACTTGTGCCTATTCCAYTTAGTAGGAAGGGGATTTAATTCTCATTAAAGTCAATATGAAGATTGGTACTGACTTCAGCCCAGGTCATTTGTTTGCTTTTTGCTGTCTGCATTGACAAACTGCTGTTGCTTAAATGAGTAATCACGGTTTTACTGAGCCAGTACTTCACAAGTATTTTTTACCCTGTGCTCTTTTATTAGCTCATGYTTAGTGAGATATATTTTTTCTTCTTCAGAGTATCAGCTTCCTTACTGTCCCTTTGCAGGAATTAAACACGGTTTGCGTGACTTCCAGTGATCCCAGCTGTAGTCACTATATGCTTTCCTTTTTTGGGGGTTTTGAAGAGAGATCTTCTAACTCCAACTCCAAAACATTACCACTTTTAAAAAATTACTTTCTTATAAAAGCCCTTAGAGTTGCAAAAGTATGATCCAAGAAGACACTATTGAGCTAATTCACTAGTTCAGCAAAATTGTTTGAATCTAGAGGTTAAATGGAATAAGCCAATAAAACATGAAAGGGACACTGGGCATATGTTTCAAGCAGACTGTAAGACACTGCTTTTCAGATCAAAACTGAACRGTTCAGGTTCTCTTGTCTCAACACTTGTGTATAGAACTGTATTTTATAGTCCCTGAATTGAAAATGTTACCTGTTTGCATATTAAATGACATCTGTAATTAGGACAATAACTTGTGTTTTTATGCTTATTATAAAGAAAGAAGAGAATCATGGAAAAATATTCTAGTGTATTTGTTGGGTATAAACTATTGAAATTATTGTGTTCTTAATAAACTGTGCTTCCTGGTAGCATTCTCCATGTTTAGAGGACCGTCTGCTGGGAAAAATGGAGGAGACTTGGCTTTGCTTTTATTCCTTCCTGATTCCATTTCTGGCACGGTACTTCCTAATCCTAATTTACTGGGTTTATTTAAGCATTTTTTTTCTAAAAAGGAAGGAGAAAAAAAAGAAAAATATTAATAGTATAATCACCTATAAAGTTTTGTGAAATAGATTGCATTAATTACATTCCATTTCTCCTTGAATTATTCAAAAATAAGAATGGCCTCTGTGCCGATGATTAACTGTGTGTCACTCCTGTGTGCACATAATCTGCTTCCTGACACGTACCACCTTGAGGGTAAAAGCCCCAGAGAGGGTTTTGTGCCTGCTAGTGTGTGTACCTGCCTCCTGTGTTCTCTTCTACAGGTACTACTAATATTTTGGCCTACACGCTCTACGGTATCAAGCACCCAGTGACTGCAACATTGCACATTATAATGGGTAAATATTCCTTTGGGATTCTTTGTTTGAAGATAAATTATATGTCTTGCCATTTGGTCGCACAACAAGTAGGTTTTTGACTGTGAAAATGGAATTATGCTAAAAGCAGAAAAACTAGGTGGTTGTTGTAAACCTTTACTTCTGTACTTAGGAAAATGCAAATACTTAACTGAGCAATATTAATATTTCCATTGGAGCACTTCTGGTTTGGGATAGCTGTTCTTAATGCAAAGAAGATAATAGAGAAGGCAGTTTCACCTTGGGTATCTTGAAGTCTTTTCTAGACTTCACAGTTAGCAATGGAAAAGTCTTTGCTCTGTTGCAGACAGGAACAGATATGCCTTACATGCAAAATCTAGGATTGTTTGTTTTTTAATCAGAGACACTTAAATTAATGGAAGCCAGAGGCTCTATTAAAAATAATTTTTATTCAGTTTTATACAGTCTGTCTTGAGCAGAATTAGATGCTTATATTCTGTGACTGTAAAAATAAATGCACTTGAAGCTTCTATTTAAGAGCCCCTGCAATTCCCCCAGTAAAATATGCAAGTATGCTGTTGCTAAATCAGTACAAAGTTTAGCCCTTGCACATTTGGGTAGAAATTTTGCAAATATTTATGTAGCAATAATTTTCTCTGATACTATATATATATATTTAAAATCTGAACAGTAATTAAAAGTCAAACTACTACTACTACATCTGCTCTCACAGAACAGCTGAATTTTCATTATAGATACTGTAACTTTAACGTTTTGTAGCAGAACTATTATTTTTTAGACTCTAAATCATATGTAAATTATTTCCAGTTTTCTTTGATAATATTTGACTTCCTAAAGGAAAAAAGTCTGGACCTGTATTAATTTAATTAGGTGGAAAGCAGAAGTAAGTTATATTTGTTTTGAAAACCCAATGTTTATAATTTCTGATGTCTATCTTTGAAAATTTTAGGCCATGTTCAGCCAGTTGATGTCTGCACTTTCAGTACTCCAAGCAAGCTTTTACGCTTTGGGTTCTCAGCTATGTTTGGCTTTGGTGCAAGAACCTTGGCTTTGGCTGAAAAGCACCGCTGGATGCCCTCCAGCCAGCGGAAAGATTTTGCTTTTATCAAAACACTGGCAAATCTCAGGTATAACCGAATCTCAGCAATAACTGTTGTATTTTTTCCAATACTTTCTATTTTCTTGCAGAAAGTGCAGTAATTGAGAGATGTGGTAAAATACAAAGATAACTTGACAACTCTATCTGTCAGATCTGCAAGATGTATATATTTGTTAGGATTTAAAGAAGAGATAATTTTTCTATATGCAGCATCCTCTTAGAATCAAAGTCTATTTAAACAGAGTATTGGCTTATGTGCTAATAAATATTAATGCTTTTCTAGGCCAGAGGAATGTGAGCTATCATTTCTACCTCTGCAGACTTCACAGGAAGGTTCTCATGAGAATGACAGGTGAGTGAACCCCAAATCTGGAAAAAAAACCTTTGTCTTTGAAGATGCAGTGGTACAAAATCTGAATTGTTCCAATTTGATCATCAGGCAAAAAGAGCTTAAATATTTATTTTGACAATTGCTAGCATGCACACTTTGAAAGATGTTCACTTTCTATTTATGAGATCAGAGAGAAGTTGTTGCAAAGCAGACTTTCGCTTAATATTAGTTTCCTTCAGTTTCATTAGTTGTTTTTCCATTGGGATGTTACCTTTCTCTTAAGCAGATGTTGTTTCAATGTGCTAAAATCATTTAATATCTGCATATTTTCACCYTTCTAGGAGGAAGAAAGAGACGATTAAAAACAATGGTGAGTTTCAACTTAATTATTTAAAAGTGAACTGTGGCTGGTTAAAGTTAAGTAATGCAGAATTACTCTGTTATATTTAGGCAGCAAGGATCAATGGCACAAGATCCAGGGTCACTTCCTGAATGTGAGCATTATGGCAATCCCTTGTCTGTGCTCAATGGCACCAAGAGGCTTGGCACCTAATACGAGGTCAGTAGGGGTTTAGGGAATTAGTCATGTCTATAAATTCTGACATCTTACCTTAAGACCTTGGCTTTCCTGTGAGTACTAGGCCGTGTTTAGGCAGTCTGGACCCACTGGAATGGGGGAGGGAGAAGAGACTGCAGCAGACTCAATAATCCTAGGAATTGTAATCAGTTTTTAGATCAGGCAAATAAGGTCAAGTAGTCTAACTGGAATAATGAATGGATAATTGCTGCGACTAAATTAGTTGGCAAGTCTGACTTAGCTGGTAGTCACCAAGCAGTCTGTCACCCGTTTCAGCTGTATGTAGAATCCTTGTTGCAGGATATTTTTACAAAGCTTTTTATTATTTTTTAAGCTATAAAGATGCCCTTCATCTTTCACTCAACAGACAAGAAACGGGAAATATGAATCTTTTTCTGGTATCATGAGGAACTGAAATTCACACAATTCACACAATTTTGTCTGTCTTGCTGAACTTAGAATATCCAGCTTCTACATAGACTCAGTCATTTCCCAAAACCATATACAGATACATATGTTCCCGTATACGTAACCTCTCCATGGAGGCTGACTCATTCTGCCTTTAGATTATTATGTGAGCATGTTTTGCAGTGATTAAAATAGCTATTGAATGATAAATATTGGCACTTGCTGCATGTACTGGAAGGCTAAGTAGAACAGAAAGTGGAGCCTCCATAGTCTGTACATGAAATATAGCACCAGTGCCCCAAATAAGACATCAAAACTCTTGTATATAAAACTATACACTCTTAGAAAAGAGTATGGAATGAATCTCTTCTCTTGCTGGTAGAACTTGGTTTCTCAGAAACAAAGTGTAGAAACAGATGTGAAGCTCTTACTGAGAAGATTTCTGTGCTAGAGGAGTCCTGGTAAGCCTCACGCTTCCAGATAGTGCCCAAATGCTGTCCCTCTCCTAGGAACTTCCATTGTCCAATATTTCTACTCTGTTATATTCCAGTCAGGAGAAACTGGCAAGAGTTGAAGAAATATCTTTTGTTTTGTRTGTTTTGTTTGCATTCTCTTTTTGCCTCTTTCTCATGATAGGGAATTTCATGACAACTCCATRTAACTATTGCAGGTTTCTATGAGTTGTAGCATGTTTCTCCTATCTTTTTGTTACTCAGAAGACTTCACTGTCTTTTCATATGAGGAAATACTAGTTATTTGTATCATTCTAGGAATACAGAACTCTGCTAGGAAGAGTAGTAGTATAAGGACATCATGCAGAATACATTGCCCAGGAATGTGCTATGTGCTTTTGTGGCAGGAAATATGGTAAAGATGCAGCTGCTTCAATTTCATCATTATTGTTTTCTACMTGAGAAAAGTAATGCTACGCAAGGTGGCTTATTCCATAGTTATTTAGAAATTATCTTTCTAGATGGTAATTTATTGTGGTCACATAATATTACAAATGCAGCAGTTATGTAGACATGGAATTATGAGTATGGAAAGATCTGTGCTGTTAGAAGTATGTATACATGACATCTTAAATGTAATTTTCAAAGCATACATTCTGAAGCATACATTCATATACATGTATATTCAGAATGTGTGGAAAACATAATTTATATATAAAATACAGTCTCTGCAGTCACTGTAATGTTCATCAGATATTTTTTGTTGAAGGCTGGTTTGTCCCCATAACCTAAATGGGCCTTAGGAAGGATTGCATTACGCCTTACTTGTTACCTTTTGTGACAAGACTAAGAAATATGTGAGTTTATAGTAGCTGAGTGTCATGATCCAGATTCTTGAAGATGTTCAAATATCAGTTGCAAATGGGCACTTGCGTTGAGTACCTGAACTGCAGGGTTGCCTTGGTTAATCTCCCACAGGTGACCTTTTGTTTTTGTGTAAAATTCCTCTCAGTTCTTAACCCTCCTGTTCTCTGGGCAGCGAGTACCTGGAAGGAGCTGGTGCAGAAGGAGCCGGGGCTGAGGATGGGGGGGATGAAGGAGCCCCGTGGCACCGGGCCCCGGGCCGGGGCGGCTCCGCCTGCCGCCCGCGCGACCAGTGCGGCCGTGGGCATCGCCACGCTGCGCTGGGAGGACGAGTGTGAAGCACGGTGGAGATCCCTGAGGCTTAAAATCACCTGTTCAGGAAAAATGAAGGGTTTTTTTTATTAGCATCTATCATGTGCAATGGATATATGATAATGGTAATGATAAGGGAATACACATTACTTACCACACTCTTCATTATGTAGACGCCAAGTAACTTCAGTGGCAGAGTTTATATTCCTCTACAGAAAAATTCTTTGGCCTTTTTTTTTTTTTTTTAAAGAGACTTTTTCTTATTAATTTACTTTTGCTCCTAGGCTCCTAAGAGCCTCCTAGGCTTTCAGGTGGTAAGTTCATTCTTTGTCTGCTTTGCAGGCTGAATAATGGCAGCATGGCTCTCATTGCTGTGCAAAATACTTCTCGTTCGGCGTTTATTAAACACCTGAAGAGATATGCCAGTGTGAAAAATCAGGTACTGTTAATTTTCTTCTGGTAATTATTAAAAGAACGGTTAACCATGGAGAGAGACATGCTGTAAGAGTTAATGTTAGCAACCTCCTAAGGAGACTTAGCTTCCTGTCAGAATACATTAGCCCCCTTTATCTGATTTTTCTTTTCTTTTTTTTTTTTTTTCCTTTTTCAATCACCAGACTAATACCGATTAGCCTATTTCAGCCCATCTGTTGTGGTTTAAGTTGTATTTGTGCTGTAGCATAGTTTTTTGAGCGTAAAGCCTTGCACCAAAAAAAGAGGAAATAAGCACTGTGTTTAAATTTGGTACAGTACAGAGAACACAGACTGGGATGCTGCAAAATGTGGTCAGGAAGCAGCAAAGTCCATGATTTTCACAGGTTATCTCATACTACATGGGCAGCAGTAGGCTGTTACCCCTGATTTTAGAAAATAGTAGATGTTTTACCTAGTCACAAACATTTGTAGAACTGTATTTCCAAGTTGTAGTCAATGTCTTTCCCACTAGTTTGTGCCATATAAATCRTTTTGTGCAGGAAGGTTTAGATTTGGATTAGATAGACATGATATATATATATACATTTATATATATATATCTTGGGGAAGATGTGAGTGTCAGTTCCATACACGAGCACTACCCCTTCAGTTTAGGAAACAGTTTATGGCAACTTTGCCATTAGTATTTGCTGGGAGGAGGGCTGTGGTATTTTTTTTTCCATCTCCCTCTTTATTTTAGAAATTAGAGAAGGAGATGTAGAACGTCCCTTAAACCTAAGATGACCAATTAATGGATATATAAATAGTCTCATTTAAGATGAGATTACTGGTAGTAATGAATGGACTACTGGAAATTGCTCCTTTGACTTGCATGTATTCTGAAAGCATGAGCAGTTTTGGAGCTTGAGGCACGCCTCTCAACTGTAAACAGAGCAAGGCTGATTCAGAAACACAAATTGCCTCTTCCAGTGCACTATCTAGGATAAAAATAGCATGTTAATCTATAAATACTGGTCTATATGTACTATACCTCATGTGGTCAGCGTTGTATGTTCTCACTTAAATTGAATAGCTTGTTCTTTCTTTTTTAGGAGTTCAGTCTGTTGCTAAGCTATGAGCTATATCTCTAATATACACTTGTGTTTGGTTTAGTTCAATTTTCCCTTTGTTGAGACCTACACAGTTGAAGAAGTAAAAGTACAGCCAAGGTTTAAAAGCATGTTTGATTCCAAAGACGATACATGTGGGAATAGCACTTCTGCAGAAGGAACTTACCCTTGGAACATCGATGGAGACCTAGTGGAAGAAGGATCTGCAGTTCATGTGCGGTAAGACTCACATATTTGTAATACATCACACCAACACTGTAGTGGTATTGCAATCTTAAGGGTATATAATAAAAATAATAACAAAAATGCAGGTGTTCAACAGTGGGAAATTCAGTGCTGCTGGGAAACGGTCTGCACAGTGGGAGAGTGAGACTGGCCAAATGGAAGGGGAGGYGGCTCGTCCTTCCGCAGCACACGGGGCAGCAGCTCAGGGCAGAGCTCCCTGGAACATGGTCTGGGTTGTAGAGGGAAAGGGGGACCATGTTACAGCATGGGTAAGGAATACACTTAGGAATACACTTTTAAATACAAACATGCATACTTCTAAATACACACATATATACTTCTAAATACACATTTCTAAAGATGTCCCTGCAGCAGTTGTCGCAAATATGTCCAGCTGATGTTATTCCATGCAGCAGTTCATATAGACCTTTTGTTCTTTAAAAAGAAAAAAAGTGGCACACGCTGCAAGTGTTAATGGAACTGATGCAGTTTAACTTCCTCCCTCACAGGCTCCATCCTCAACTCATTGATCTCTATGGAGTGAACATTGATGAACTGCAGGGTTCTAAAGCAACCTGTAACTGTATATAGGAGGAATGTGCAGCCTTTTCTGCTGCAGGTTCTGCATTGGAAAAACCCTTTTTTCATCTATGGGCATGTTCTTTTAAGGTCCCGGTCTGACTCAATGAAGGTGATGGCGGTAGCAAAAGCTTCATTGGGATGGTTGTAGTAGTTCTGCTCTTACATACTTCTGGTAGGATATAGTTAACTGTAAAGAAGCTGTCTAGGTATAGCAAGAAAAAACATATTGGTCTCTATTTTATGAATTTGGGGTGTAAAATGTACACTGAAAGTGCACATCAGAATAAAATATATTTTTATTAAAAATTATTTTACCTACTGCAATAAATACAAGATACTACTTAGTCTGCTGTTGCTATCCGTGGTATCAGGTAGTTCAGTTTATTTAAACAGAATGAGAAACTAAAAATGCAACCAAAGGCAAAATACTTATATATTTTGATCAGGATAAAGTATTATTATTTTTATGCTGTTTATACCATACTTTAAGCCCACTTGTAGTCAGGCTGTAATGAATGTATATGCTGATGTCTTCTACTGGTTTYCTTTGAAATGCATTCAAAAGACTACTGTTTGTACAAAGTATTTTGAACTATTTAATGCACTCTTGAACTCAAGTGCTGTTCAGCAYAGTTTCTGTTAATGCTGAGAATGACATTGTGCTGACTATGATCAGCTCAGTTTTTGTAGCTGCCTTGCAGGGTGTAAACTCATTTTAGGGAGTAGGTTCTTAACTMCTTGAGATACCTGTGCAGGTTAGCACTGTTTTAGTTTTTACTTTGTTCTTCTGGGAACAGGCTTTCTATGGGATGGAAATGTAGTAGATTGACAAGACCGTCAGGTCAGAGGACCCTAGGGATAACAAATGTAGTCCTATTTACTTGTCTCTGAATTATTGCTCAAAAGAAGGCTAACAAGAAATATGAAAGCTGCATTGACTCAAGACTTAGTACTTTAAAGCCTTAGTTCAGTAAGCAGTTGAGTATAATATTAAATCCATCCCAAGGTCAGAGTGTCCTTCTGAGGAAAAGGTTCTTCCTTAGGTCCAGCTGGAGCCTCTTGTTTCAGCCCACACCTGCTGTCTAAAGAGGATTGAGCAGCCTTCAGTTAAACCCTGGTCACGGATATTACTTGGATTCTGTAGCACATCAGATATTATAACATATTTAAGCTTTCTAAGGCTAAGGAGACTATTCCAGCAACATGTGTTGGGTTAAACTGTTTTTATTACAAATTTGAAAATTAACAGGCAAATAAGAGCTTGCAGAAGAGACAGCYTTGATATGCTTAATTTGTGGGGTCTTTAGTGAAGTGCAACTCAGTGATACCTTAACTTTGCTATCATCAGGGATATACATTTATTTTCATGTCAATCTCACTTCTCAAAAYAGTATTTTGTTTCATCTCCTAAGAACAGTCATCCAACACTTAATAAAATCTGAATAGAAAATATACACTTTCCAAATCGACATTATGGTGTTTATTGACTTTGGTAAAACTGTTTCAAAGACAAAATGCGTTAGTTTCATTTCTTTGCATTGTTTGTATTAAAAGGAATTATAATGCATTTTCCAGTATTTGAGGTATATTTTTTACAATATGCTGTCATAACAAACTAATTTCTGTTCACATATATTTTGATTAAAGTGCAATAATTCACTAAAGCCATTTGGAAAATAAACTTATTTGTATGTATTTCATAGACTTGCAAGAAAATATTTTATTCACATAGTTTAGTCTTTTTTTTTTTTACATATGCACATTCATTTGTCCTTACACTGCAGACGATTTTAGAGCAAAAAGCTATTTTAGACTGAGCYCCATCTTTGTAGTCAAATGAGGTGAGAGAAAATTGTAAGTGCTCAGCTTACATAGAAAAATGGTCCCCAATACTTACTACCTTTGGACAATATGGCTTTTACGGCACCAGATATACTTGATTAGCAAAATTGCTAGTTGAAGGCACTCGGTATTGCTTTTGAGTCACAGGCTAATTCCCACATGATGCTGCAGCTTCAAAATGCATGCACAAACTACGTTCCTTTCTCTGCACAGTTCAGAAAGCCATCAAAGACAAGGCAAGAAAAGCCATCTATGAAGCTGCTGTTGCAATGAATTTGGTTGCTAATGAGGCTGTACATCCTCCACGCATACTGGGGAACAACCCCCTTTTTTCCCTGTTGTTTGTATTGTTTCACCAAAGCTAGATGGCAGTGCAAACTTACCTAGCTCAAGAAACTTCCTGTAAGAGCAGAGCTCTGGTTTGGACCTTGGTTCTGTTCATTGCTTTGCCTTTCCCCTGAGTRGTTACCGTGGATACCAGTTTGGATATTTATTTGAAAACACTTACAAAGAACCCAAGATAGCTCTTTAAAAGACTTAAAATACGTTCAGGTAGCATTTGGCACATCTAAAGATAGAATCTGGCCCAGTAAGGGTTTCAGGTTCTGGAAGAATACCAGTACTAAATACTGCCATGCTAAACATTATAAAAAATCTTCAAATAAATACAAATAAATACTTGCTTAAAAAATACTCACATGGAAGTCTTTCACTATAGAAGTCCAAAATATCATAGCACTGGCATTTGAGGAAAGGATGAAACAACTAATTCTGTCATGTTTGCACACAGAATGCTAAAGATGATTAAAAATGATGATCTCCAGGAAGTTACTTTTCTGCTTTTGAGGTAGGATTCTGTGCTGTATCCCCAAGTTACAACTCAGAATTCCCTGCTTTAAATCTTTGACTTTACTGGCTTTGGATTGCCCAGATGTGTGAATCTCTGCATTGCCAGGTCGTGCCTGTGAAACCAAAGCTTGTGATGTTCTCTTCAGAAGCATGAGTGCTTCTGAGAGCAGTCTCCTAAACGTGYGCGCTCTACACGTGGTCTCCCTCTACACAGCATTTTTACCCTTGTTAAATTGCCAAAGCAAGATGAGGGAGAGTTTCTTCTTGAATGTCTCTGGCAAAAAATTATCACAAGTTGAAAACTATTAGAATTACTTGTGCTATAGTATGGTTGAGATCTCTTTGTCCAGGTTTGGCCAAGCTTTACCACTTTGCAAGAACTCTTCTTTCGGGTAAGTAATTATCCTTCTCTTTAGCTTTAGTGTTCTTCTGTCTGTCTGTCTGAAACCAAAGATGATATGTGGCATTTCAAATCCTACTTCAATGCAAGAACTGCTTTACCATTTCCATGCTAGAAATACAACTGTACATAAAGGTGTAGTCTTCCACGCAGGTCAGGGAAATAAAATGTATTTTCTAAGAGTGACCAGTTTTCTAGTCATTGATGTTCCTCATGTGAATTAGCCTGAACCTTATATTCTTCATTTGTAAGGAGCTTTTATTTGCTGTCTTAGTCATCTTTATTCCCGTTTGTAAAACTCCAGCTGTCTCTTCTGTCCTGGTCCTGAGAGACTGGTTTGTAGGGCCTTTTGAAGAAGCCAATCTGAAATACATAATTGTGGAATCTGTTGGCATATGTCAGGAACCATTTGTTATCAGAGTTAAACAATATAACATGAACCAAAATGAAATGAGCATCTATGGTGCCTATGAATAGGGGGTATTTGCCATTCCTTTATCATCCTGAGTAATGASGGTTAGTCACTGATCAGAAAAGTAGGTTGCTTTTTCTAATTTGTACAGAATACAGAAGGAGGAAATCCTCTGAAAATTCGGAAGCTAATATTCTCCTTCTGTAAGGAGTAAGAACAAGTGAGCTTTGAACTGATTCCAGGATTTTATTAACTATGAAATGGTATTAAAACATAGGATTTAAAATTTCATTTTTATACTTTCCTGGAGAGGAGAAAAAAAAAAAAAAAAAGGCAAAAGGAGGGAGTTTGTCGGTCAGTAAAGCTTCCAAATGCYGAATCACTTGTTGGAGTAGCTGCTTCAATTAACCTTTTCTTTTGCTACTTATGCAAAGGATTTCTTAGCAGTTGTGTGACAGCTTAAAATCTAAAACACTTTTTAATCTGGCCGGCTATACTGTAAACAATTACTAATCAGGCATTAAAAAAAATATTGTGTGGAGCAGCAGCCCACAAAGKTTTTTTTTTGATCTCATTTTATAAACTTCAGATAAAATATAAAATATGGGAGAAGACTGGTGTTGTTGATTAACTAAGATGTAGAATATGCAGAAGATGCTTAAGAAAAACATTAAGAAAAACAAGTATTTCTGGAAAAAGCAACTTACATATTACATACAGTTATTTTTCTTTAGGTAAGATAGATCTTATTAAATATTATTTATCCCTTAAACTTCTGTAATGAATCCAACAGGATGCAAAGATCCATCAGTGTAAATTCCTGACTTGAGAATATCTGAGGCTTACTGAAGACTTACCTTCCATAATATAAATGAAAGAAGCAGAAACAAGGTAACACCAACTATTAACCCTATCCCGATTATCAAGACAGTAACACGGTATTTTGGCTTTTGGTGGTGCACTCCTTCTAAGTACACCTGTAAAAAGAGGAAAATAAGTTCTATGTTAGCTGATTCTAAAGCATGCTAAAGAAATGAACTACCTAATTATGTATTCCTTGATTGTATATAACTATGTGTGGAATTCCACCATTTTAATTGCTATTAGCTTTTCTATTTTAATCAGTCTGTCACAAATCCACTACTTAAGGGCTTACATAAGCAGATTGCTTGTTCTTGTGTAGTTCAATAACTTTTCCATTTTTTTCTGGTGATGCTGTTGCTCTCACTTCAAACTTCAAGGCTGATGCATCATCCTGATTTAAAAGAGACACAAAAAGAACAAATCAAAAAAACCCACTTTTTATAACACCTTTTTTTTTTTTTGGCTGTTTTCAGAGAACTCCAATTATGAGCTAGAATTAAATTTTAACTGTGCTAATGACAGATGCACTATCTGGAGGACAATTGTGGTTAACAGAATTCTAGTTTCTATTTTAAGAGTTTTTSTTTTTTTCCTATGTGTTCCTTCATCCAGGAGCGACCCTATCAATGATATTTAAAGCAAAGCTGCAAACAGCAGAACAGCCCCCCTGCACTGTAGGATCTGCTCATGCAAGGAAGAAGGTAAGACTCTGGCACTGAAGGCATGCACTGCGTAAGTCATCTTCAACCATAAAGTAGAACCATGTTTTGAGCTTCTTTGGAAATACATTTTAACCTTGTTGCCTTCAAATGGCACTTCTGATTTTAAGAAGTTTAGATTAATTTTGACTTAACAAAAGGATGCTAGTTTATAATATACTTGAAATATTGGAACAGCAGTTGGCAGAACAACATTGGATTGTTCAGAATAAACTTAACACTCGAAATAATTTACAGTATGCATGGACAGGAGATACTGCCATGTCATGAAGGGACAGACCAGTGTTTCTGCTAGTCAGGAATCCCTCCTTTTTCTCAGATGAAAAGTACATTAACTCTAATATACACTCTCTCCTGACTAACCGTTTTCTAATAGTTGCTGTGCTTCTTGTATGGTGATCATGACCTTATTTGCAATTACTCAGCTGCACTACAGAACTCTGTTAGAATAGGCAAAGCAAGACAGTCTGTGAAGTAAAACGATCATCTGAAATGCATCTTTTCTGGTGGATGGCATTTTCACAAATTGCCTTGAAACGCAACRCTAAAAATATAACAAAATACATAATACTTAGCAGATTTCTTGTTAAACTATTATTAAATCCAAATAATGTTAATATATAGCAATGCTATGCAGAGATTATTTCATATATGGCTTGAAATTATCCACTTGAATACTGAAAATACATTACCATTTCTAAAAGTGAAGGAGTAGCCTCCAGATGCACCTGAATAGTTGCTTCTTTTCCACTTTCCATGTTTCCAAGCTTGCAGTGTATTTGTAAACACAGACTGTCATTTTTCATGCAGTACTGTAGAGAAGGGGGAAATAAAACTCCATCAACTTTTTCTTGTGAATAAGTAGTGACATTCAGGAACTGAGTAAAACAAAAAGCTCTGTGTTTGTGTGTCACAGGTAAGTGTAACATCTGTGAGCTGTTGCTAATGGGACAGTGCAAGGAACTCGAACTGCTGTGCAAGACAGCAAGTCTTAATCTTAAAAAATATATATTTTTTAGAAAGATGGGGAAAAATATCAATTGTGATAAGCTGGTTCTAAGTACATTAGTAAGTAGGTTAATTTTTACATTGTTAATTCGAATTAGTGTATTTATCAGGAATTATATTTATGAGGAGTGATTATATGCTACCTGGGATAAACACTATATCCCGTATAATTGCTGGGTCCTTAACTACTGCAGTGTGAGAGGGCACTCGTAGATTGGCAGTGCAAGTCACAAAGCTTCTAAGAAGAAAAAATGAAGTAGGCTGTAGCACTAGGCTGCAATGCCAAAGCTGTGATTAAAAAAACAAGGCTGATATTCCAGTGCACAGTCTGTCTTTCCATCAGTTGTGGATGTTTCTGTAACTTGCTTGCTTAAGAGGCAAAAATTAAGTGTTTGAAAACATACAGTTTCTTCTACAATTAAAATATTAAAATTGTAGTTCATTAAATGCATTCTAGTCCATAGAGATTTTTTACTAGACTAAATCCTGAAATAACACTAGAATAGCAATTCAGATTTGGACTAGCTAGTCCAGTAGCTGATTTCCAGCAGGTTCTATAAGCAGACACTGAGGGATGAGTAAGCACAAGCTAGGTATGTATGAAATGCTCTTAGCCTGCCATGTATTTCCATTAGAAACTTCCTGAGCCAAGAATAATTTCAGTTTGTTTAGTAATTCTTTATAACTTCCACCCCAAACCTTTGGAAGACTGCCCTAGTGACCTCGTTACATAAAATAAGGCTCCTTCACAGGGACTGATCACCGATTTCCCACTGCTGCCAGGGTCAGGCCTTACCATTTGTCTCTTATCGGGCTTTGAAAAGAAGGTGACAAGATCCTTTAATATGTTGTCGTCCTTGCCTGCAGCATTACAGTTTCTAGGATATTTAGTATAGGAACATTGTCCAGTAGTTGTCTAGAAATAGAAACAACAAAATCACTGCTTTGCTTTTAAACATCACATAGTGACAACAGAGAGAGTTCTGAAAAGCAAGAACCTCAAAGGGAACCTTTTAGTTCCCTTTGGCTGAAGATGACCCTTCCTGCCCACCCTACCCCATCATAGCTAAATTTAAACTTTATGCTTTCCTGTTTCACTTCATTACACAAAACAATTTGGGAATGAGGTACAGTAAGCCAGAGAGGAGCTTGAGGTAATTTGTGTTTGATTAATACAGTAGACATAGGACATCTGTTGTATCCTATTTCTTAAGAATAGTAATGTTCTAAAATGGAAGGACTGTGTTTTATATTGTTTTGCATAACCACAAGTCTTCTGCTTCACGTGATACAATAAGGCTTGATGAACTGGAGTCTTTACAATATTGTAAAAAGGCTATCCAATGCAGAAGTTTTCTGATTCTTTTTTAAACACACTGTATTCTGTTATTTATGAAGTGTTTAGTGCCACAGCAGAAAAGAACTGACAAACACAAATCACAGATTCATGCCTAGGATCGAGCTTTGCACAGATGGATTTAGTACATTCAGTTGGATTCTAGTACAAATTTTTGTGGGTTTGAAAGAAAGGGATAAAAACTGAACACATATGAACACATATGTAGTACTACTCCTGCTATGCTCCCCTTTCTTCTTCATATAATTCATGCAGTTAAAACACTGTGAAATAACCTATGCTTTACCTTGATATCCAGCAAGTTGAATAATTTGAAGTTGTTGGGTGGGAAGGCATTAGGTACCATTATCTCAAAGTCTGTATTTGGAGCCATGCTTGGTCCTGTACTGATAACCTTGTAGGCAAGAACAGTAAATGTTTTAAGCTGTAATTCATGGTAGCTGTTCAAGTGACAAATACATGTACAGAAATTATAAATACAGAAATTTCACCGATTTGGGTGCCACATGTACTGTTACATTGCCCTGAAACTGGATGCTACAGGGGTAGTAATATTTCCAGAGATTAGCTGTCTAATTCATTCTGGAGGCCGCTTGGCTGCTCCGAGCGCAGTGACTCAGTGGTGCTTGTTGGCTGTGACTGCCCCGGAGCCGCGCAGGCTGCCTGCAAAGGAGCTAGGAGAGGCTCATGTCCAGCTTCTGCTTTTAATCCAGCCCAGCCAAGTCTGAACYGATAACAGGAAGAACACTTATGCGTATATCCCAGTTCTATATGATATCTATAAATCCTTTGAAACTGTTTCTTGCTTGGAAAAAGTGTCAAGTCAGAACTGCTGTACCACTGTCAACTTTGCTCGCATATGGTTTTGGCTTTTTTCTCTGACCATGCAGTGGAAGATTGTTGAGCACAAAAGAAGTGTTCAAAGAGGGACAGATACCCACTTCCTATCACTAATCAGWGGGAGGTGGCAATCCAGCACTTCTAGAAATTTCCCTTACTGAGCATACAGACAGACYGTAGAGATGCTGGAAATCAAAGCCTTCACATTCAAAACATACATAACAGGCTTTACAAAGTGAAGATCTTACATGGAAAGTGAAGTTGATGTTCTCCTTCATGCAAGTATCTGGTGAATCATCTCTGTCACTTGTTCCATAAATAAATGAAGCCGGTGTGACAAATCTGAGGCAGATTGTTAACAGAAAGAATATATATCATTAGTAAGGTATTCTGGTCCATATCATCTCCAGTAAGATTGATCCTAGGAGAAGAAATACTTGAATTTGCACTTAAGTAAATGCAGGAACATCAAGTACAAGTTCTCTACCTTTGTATCTTTTCCTCTTAAAAGGATCAGAAAAGTCAGGAACTCTCCTATCAAAAAACTATGCTCCATGAGTGCCCCATAACAACCCAGAACACGGTTCATGTTATGCAGGGAATCTGAGTAAAAACAGAATACAACATTGGGGTCCCATTTTACATTAACAAAGGCTTCTATGGAKCAAAGTGAGCACTGTGATGAGAAATGGCCACTCATCTCTTATACCTCCAGCTGAGGTATCTTGCCTCCTTAGAAATGGGATTTCAGTCCTATCCATCTTCATCTCCAACTTAAGATTTCAGGATTTATTTGCATTTTCATGGACTGTGATTGTTTGTTCAAGATGATTTTAAGAAAGCAAGCCATCAACAGAAAGTTACTATAGAAGTCTGAYATAGCTATAGGTTTGGTTTTGAAACAATTAATTGGACAGCCAAATAAAATACAGCTGTAAAATTCACTGTGCTAGAAGTAATAACTGATGCCATCTGTTACTGGAAAAACTGATAAAACATCTATTTTGGTTCTTAGATTAGCATTCACTTATCATATTCAGTGTGTAAGTCCTTGATTGTGCATATTTTCAAAATTCAAAAATTCAGTCACAATTTTGTGTGATGAACAGGACGACAGTTCTACGAATGTGCACGTATAGCAAGAGCTGACTTACCCATGAGCATTTAACTCGACCTCATATTTCAGAGGTATAACTAAAGTCACAGTGTTATCCAACAGCGTGTTCACATCTTCGTTTTCACTATAAAAGAAAAAAAYGAGCTTAGAATGCACTGACATATGCTATATGCATTTACAGATATAGCAAAWACATTTACATAAACAAATATTAAACATCTATCTTCCAGATTATTAAAACAAAAACATTTCATAGGTAACTACTTATTAGGTATAAAAAATGTTCTACAGGGGCAGAAATCTGCTCATTGTTTAAATAGCTATTGTATTTTATTTTGGATTTTCTCTCTAGATTTTGCAGTAGATATCCTTTCTTGCAATAGTGCTTCACTAAGTTTCTCAGCATTCCCTGTTCTGCTCTTCAAAGCTAAGAGAATTTCTCATTGACAAGAGCAATTCTTAATCACACCTTACCAGGTAGCATTAATGATGAGGTTGAGGTCATCTTCTGCTCTAGTAAATGAACTTGCATCCAAGAGGAAACTAAAATCCAGCTGTAGAACAAATGAAATTTTCTTTATATCAAATGATACTATATCTTAACACAGTCTTAGTGAAAATGTTCTTTTAAGATCATTTATAATTTCTTCAGTTCAAAAGTCTTTTACAAAAGATTTTTACTATCTTTCTACTCGTCTAGGAAGCCAAGTGCAACTGAAACAACTGATGCAAATAGTCCATTAATGAAATTTTCCAGAGAATGTTTAAGCAACTAACTTTAAAAGGAACAGAGACATTCAGGTATTAGTGCGATAACTGATGACAGTAGTTGGACAAGAGGGAGAGATTTTGAAAAACAAGTGTTTTTCCCTCTTCTCTCAAAATCCTATTAAAATATTTAGAAATTTTGAAAGCTTACCTTTGATTTTTGATCTACATAGAGGTAGCCAACGCTACACTCAAGTTTCTCTGTGTGAGTATCTTTATCTAACACATCACAATATATCTGCTTTTCTTCCTAAAATAAAGGACARATTATTAATGGTTCATTGTTAATTATTCAAAACTATTTTCAGACATTTTAAGATTTTAGTTCAAGACATGATCAATTTATACTGTTAATTGACAGTCCATTTGCTCATAATGAAGCTCAGATGAGTGCATCAGGCTCACTCAAGCTTAAAACTTGGCTGCTGARGGCAGGGAAAGGTAATTCTACATAAACAGCCATGAGATTGTTCTTGTTCTTACCACTTCTAAAATTCTGATGAAATAAAGACCTCTCGGGATTTGAATGTGGAGGACGGTTTCATATGCATCATCTCCAGTATTGTGTAAGGAAACATTCAATAACAACGTCCTTGTGTTTCCAACAGTAAGATACATTTTCTTTTCATTGGGCCTTTAAAAATAATGATCAGAATATAAGCGAAAAGCAGCATGAAGAACAACATAATGTAAAAACAATATAGAGCTTATATGCAAAAAAAMCCCTCTACTGCTCCTTTAGTTAACTTCATTTTGCTGTAATATGTAAAAACATTCCTTTAACCAAAGGTACAACACCTGTTAGCTGATAGTCAAGTTCAGCATTGTATCTTTTAAACCTTAAGGTTATTAATGCGAGAGCAAGAAGGGTGTTCCCTTCTTGGTCAGGGTCTGCCTTTTACAGGTCCTCGTACAGACCAGGACAGCAATATGCTAACRGGACAGTATGTTCAGATGTTATTCAAAATTCAGACCTTTGCAGAGAGGTACCATGAAGCCTGTGGAGCCTGGTTTGAGTATTTAGATGCATCCAGGAGTGCCAAGAATACGTATAAGCTACGTCTCAAATGATGTACAGTTCTGATCCAGTACATTACATGAACACAGATATGTACTTTGTAAGAAATGAGATGGTAATTTAAGTTCTTTCATTTTATTATTATTACATCACTCTGATCACAGACCAGACTGAGCTAGGACTGCCTTGGGTTAGATGTAATGCTCTGCAATCATGTTACAAGTAGAGATACCCTGTGAGGGTCTAAAAGTAAACTTCAGTTTGACATTAAAGTTTAATTAAGACTTGCAGAAGGGCTGCCTAGAAATAGACATTTATCAGCTATTCTGGCTCGAAACCAAAGCATTAGTCACTGAACACCTTTGGGAAAGGAGCTGGCACTTAGACAAGTAACAGAAGGTAAAAGCACTGCATAAGCAGACAGGCTCCAAGACAAAAGCAAATTAAAGCAAAATACAATGTTAACATTTCAGTAGCTTGACTTCAGTGTAGTTTAAAATATAAAAGCTATTCACCATTCAGCTTTCTTTTATACCTTACCACTGAATTTGTTAACACGACACCAGCACAAAAATGCCCTCCAGTTTAACACCCTCGTGAGAAGACAAAAGCACCAGGTAAGCAGCTGTAATACCCAGCTTAACCAGGGCATTTCCCTGGCAATCATCGTTCATTAAAATATTCATGATAGAGACCAGAAAACTACAGAGCAGGCCAGAATCTAAGCAACTGAAAGAAAACATGAAAATGTGAAGAGTCGTAACTTGTGAGCTAAGGCACTACAGACACCCCTACTTGATTTCATTCTTTTTCAAACTAAAACTGTTTGCTTTGCTATTCCTGGCTAATGTATGCATTCCATCTAGACAAGACAAATTAATCCTTCACAGCTGAGTAGTTTTTAATCGAGGTACTGGAGGCACTATGATACTTCACACTTAATATTAAGACATTTAGCCTATTTATTTATACTGAAAAGGTGTTATTGTTCTCCAGTACCTAATGTCAAACAGATATGTTGTGATTTCTTTTCTTTTCTCACAGCTTTGAARCATTTAAAAAATAGCATTACTAGTATCACAGATAAAAATACTGCACAGTATTTCCCTGAAAAACTCAAAATTATTCAAACACAATAATCTTAAAGCCTCATGAAAAGGCAAATTTCTGCAAACGAAAGCTATATCATACTTACTTAGGAAACAAAACTCTTCCAGAAACTCTTAAGTCTGCAGAACAATTTTCGTGGGAGCAAAGCCTTGCAAAAATGAACTATAAAGGAAAACAACAAGAGCAGCATTTCAGTATAGTAGGTAGATTATATTGAGTAGAAATATTTTCAAAAAAAGAAATCAATGACCTTTTCACGTAGTGCCTGGCATTTGTTTATAGGCCTTGCTCATAAAAACAGCGCGCTCAGGCTCTGAGCTGCCAGTGTCCAGCCACAGCCTGTGCTTGCAGAACAAGAGCGTCCCGCAGCGCCGCCTCCGTGCTGGCCACCTCAGAGAGAGCCCCGTGCTTCAGTGTCCCACAACGCACGTCCCTGCGTTCCCTGCTCTGAGAAGGAGCAGTAAGAGAGTTTTATTGCACTAACTATTGTAGTGTAGATTTGATGAGCCTAAGGACACCACGGGGTGGCTGTGTCCGCGCCTTCGTTAGCAATATTCCGCAGAGCGCCGTTACGTCCCTATATTCAACAAGAGCCTGTCTCTCTCTCAGGCTGTTTGGCTCCTAAAGCAAAATATTGGATAACACCAAAGGGAAAAAAAAGAGGCCATTTAAAGGAGCTTTCAGGGATCTCAAAATTCCGATTGTCAACTACATCTGAATTATGTGAAACTTGCTGTTTGTGAGAAGTCATAATATTTCTACGACCATCTGGTTGTTAAAAATTCACAGCATCCTGTCTTTGGCTTAAGTCAGAGTGAAAGTCTGTTACGTTTGGGGAAGAAAAAAGTCAATTTCATATTCATTTCAGGATGCACTGCCCCCTTCCTTCCCTCCCCCCAACTGCTTTTGAAAACCTGGAGAACCAACAGGGACTCAGAATTTCCGCAGCATGGTTGGAACAGCTCAGTACAGACACAGTATTAGATATTTAACACAGAATTCATTTTGAAGAATGATTTTATACTGCAAAGTGACTCAACTTACGTAGCTGAAATAGTTATTAAAAAAAGCAAACCCCCCCAGATAATGATGTTAAATTATGAATTGCAAACCTRTGTGCCCTGAGTTTTGCATATAGATATGTATATAAATTGTATTTTTACATATACACACATGTGTATGTATATATACATGTATATTTTTATATATATAATATTGAATATTTTTATAGAACATATTCTTATAACAAAATTTAGATATGGGTTCTGCAAACAAAATAATTTTATTATTATTCTAGTTTATTTTATATTTTTATTTAATATTATAGTTTAKTTAATATTATTCTAGTTTATTAAATAAGATCTAGACACTAAGTGCTGGTCTGAAAAATACAAGATATTACTATGTGAAGTTTCTTTTATCTAAAGACTATTTATTTATTGCATTTGAAAAAGTAATTCATACACTAACCTTGCTTTTAATAACATCTTTTTCTTTTCTCCTTTGAAGAACTGGTTGAAGTGGTAAAAATTCTTCATTGCTTCTTTTCTGTAGAATATGATGTCCCAGATGATAACTTGCTTCAACATGTATAGGAGTCAAGATATCCCTTACATCTTTCTATGAAAATTGGAAACCTAATRAGTTAATCATATAAGACAAACATGTATGCATATGCTTTATGTTTTAAACAATATAAAAATCCCTAGAACTAATTTATTTTTTACATATAAAATAATTTCCTAAACCATATTTGCTCCTGTATTTTCCAGACATTAAAAAAAGAAATCAGAAATACAGAAAAGCATAATATATTCAATGACAGCATCAGGCATTTTAAAATGAAGATCCTTTTATTAAAAGATGTTTAACTGAACAGTGACCTACCTTACTTTAATCAACAGGACTGTCCATAGGTAATTCCATATGCTGTACTGCCCGATTACAAAAATAGGCAAAAAGAACTAATATTTCTGCATGAAGTTAAAAGGGCTTCTCCCATACTACCACTAAATCACTTCAGGACTGAATTTTATTTTTCTTCCTTTATATTTCCTCCTTCATAGTGGGAAGATTAAACTCCTTGGTAAATGACCATTTTTGACATGAGACCTTGACTGTGTAGGAATGTTGCAATTTGGGGCCCAAATTATCTACTTGTGAAAACTGAACAGCTTGAAGCACTGAGAACTACAATAGCAAACCTGATTAAATTAYTCCCTAAGTGTCCCTAAGTCCCTAAGATAGACAGCCACTGATTGTCCCTCCACATGGCCACTGCTTTAATTCTTATCTACAGGCTCACTTTGACCATATCGCATGTTAGCTGATTCATAATGATTTTCCACAAGGTCTTCTCTGCATCTGCTTTATATTACTTTCATTATACTAATTAGCTATTAATTACTCTTTACATCAAAAATGTAAAATGTACATGGTCTCTTGCAAGGATCRTACTTGACAGACGTTCACACTTACTCAACTTCAGTAGCTTCAAGCAAGTGCAGAAACCTCAGTGCAGGGAAGCAGTTACATAACGCCTCAATTAGGAATTTGAAAGAGAAGCGCGTTAAAGCAAGGACAAGCTGTAATGGTAGAGAGAGGAGTGACAAGCCCTTGTTCTTCATGTTCCTCCTCCTACAGAAGTACTTGCTGATGCTGGCAACACAACGTGTGCCAGGCCAGCGGGCAGCCTACAAAACTCTGGGAAGAGGTGGGCAATTTGCCACCGCTGCTGCGTGCGGCCCCTTCCCTCTGGGGCACCTACCAGCTGAGGTGCAACTGGGCCACTTGCCAGGAGTGAGCAGAGCCTTTGCTTTCCACCCTGCAGCTCTGTCGTGAAGAACTGCCGCTTCACGTTGTCATAAACAAAACACAAGTGAAAGGAAGGAAGAAGAAAAACACACGGAGGAGGAAATGCTCTTTCTGCGCAGGCTTTATGTAATTCTAGAATATGAAGCCTGTTTTCCAGCCTCTGTGCGGGATCAGATGCAGCAGTCACCCTGCTAGATGCTAGTTTCAGAAGGTCACGGAACTGCTACCTTCAAGATTTTAAAGAAAAGGCTACACAAGTTAGATCGTTCTTTTATAACCCTTTCTCCCACCTCCATCCAAATATTCCCTTTCCATAGAACTTTCTTAAAGAATTCTTTTTCCTTTTGGTATATCTCTTACWGGAGAAAAGTCTATTATTTCTGAGTTTAATATAACACAGTTCCTCTGTGTCCCTTGTTTTTATTGTGTCACTGTGTGTTAGGACTTCAAGTTCTTCCTGTTTATTCTCCCAAGTTCTTGCTGGAGCAGGCAAGCGTCTAGGATGTTTGGCAGATGGATTTATTTTATATTTCTCTTGTCCAACCAATGGCCTTATGGATATTATAAGCCTTGTTCAGATTGTGATCATTTTTGGATATGTACTCGTGAGCCTTCACTCATAAGAGGAATTGACATCACTTGTTGGTCCAGTGCACATTCTTTATCAAAATTGTTCAGCTCTAAATTCATTCATGAAACTCTTCCATGGACGGCTCTTCGTCTCATTTTCCATGACTGATTCGCTAACCAAGTACCTGCCTATGATGAGGGCTGCCTTTCTTGCAGGGAGGAAGCAAAGAATTCCCCGCAGGTCACACATGTTCGTGCCCTGCGACGAGGCCCGGGCTCCTTGCAGGAACTCCACAAAACAGACCCCGACCCGGCTATGAACCTCAAGCTGCAGACACCCTTCTAGCAGTCGATTCATTTCGCCTCCTATGGATCAGGAGTGGCTTCCTTTCTGGTCAGGTGAGTCTGCCTCTTCTGCTCATAGTAGGAAGGGGAGCAGCACCTTATCTGCTCTTTAAACTGGTTAGAAATTGCACAATTAACGTTATCTGAGTAATTACTGAAGTGTTTAAATTAAGGAACAAGGTAGATATTAAAGTTCTGTCRGAAATGTTCAGTAGAGAACACACTCTATAGCATGTCTTCTTGGCTGATACAAGGGCCTCAATCTATGATCTGCTTTCTTGTAAAACAGGGTGAAAAAAAGAGGCCAGAAATGTTCGTGTCCTTCATCACTGTGAGGATGATTATGCATATTCTTTTTGACATAAGAGCTGACAGGACCATTGACTTTTCCATAAAAGCTGAAAAAGCACCAGAACTAAAAGCTATTAATTGTAGAAGTTATCAACAGAAATGCTGTACTTTTCTAATTAATGTAATGCAGCTGTAAATAAAATACAAATTATTTTGCAGCAAATCTGCTTATAAAGGACAGCAAATGATTTACTGTAAAATACACATTGAAGATTACATTACCCTCATAAAAGCTGGATGGTCATTGCAGGCAATTTTCTTGCTATAAATCTTTATACTTCCAGAGATTGTATCAGATGTTCCATTGGAAGAAAAATAAAATCTTGCTTGTGTATCTGCTTTTCTGTTCACATCCACACTCAGATTATACAACAAAACTGTAAAATTAAAATCAGGGAAAAAGAAAGTTAAAAAAAAAAATAGGCAGAGTAATTTTCATGAATTTATGACAGAAATTATATCTTCTGACTCGTATTCTCTTGAGTTTGTTCCATAATATCAACCTCAAAATGTTCCATTTACAAATTCCCTGAGACAAGTCTGCCCTTAATGAAAGCATCTGGCCTTCTGAAAACTGACTGTGTCGTGTTGATCTCAGACGCTTGCTTCAAATGCAACTTGTTTTAGCAAGTTATAGTTACATAGAAACTCTTCAAAGAAAATCTGCTGCAGTAACTTCTGGGGCTGACTTCGCCTCGAGCTTTTAATTTTTCATTTTATACATTTTATATTGAGCTCAGATTAATACTATTAGGAGTGTTAAGTACCAGTATAATTATTTTCTAAATAGGTTAATTTCCTATTCCAATGAATACGTTAACTGCTTTTTTTTTTTTCCCAAACAGCTTACCTATATAGCCAGGTACTTCTCGCCCCTTGTACGTAAAGCACAGCTGTAAATCCATACAGGTGGCAGGCTGGTCGTTTTCCATGCAGTTTAAATTAGTTCGATTTATTGAATCAAGGTGTTTTAGAGAAGCTTCAACAATTATCACTGGTTTTGTTCTAAAAATATAGAAAAATTATCATTTACAAAATGCTTTAGAATCAACTTGTGGAATCTGTAATTTAAGATGATAATTTTAAAGATATTTTCTTGATTTTTGCATTCTTAAGCATAAAACTAATGTGTGAAAAAAACTCAAGAGTTTAAGAATGGTATTTTCTTTTTCTCTGCGATGTTTAGTTACTCATACCAGTTTAAAAGCATTCTTGAGTTTAACAAGAAAAGTTYAAACCAGCAAAAAGAGTGGCATAAGACCTAAACATACTACTAGTTTTAATTACATCTAAAAATTTTAAATTAAACTGCATGATCTTTCAGCATTGAAATGCATCAACCTCACCTCAGCAGCACAGCAGAATTGGAGAGAAATGCACCAACTGCTACATCTGAATAAACAAACAAATAAAAAAGATAGATAAGGATCTTTACTCAACAGGAATTACTTCCCAGATACAAGCACTTTTAAGTATGTTCATTTTTGGATAGCATTAAAACATTGTTTGCCCATTATTTAAATATTATGTTAATATGCAAAGAGATGCTTATTTCTATAGAAAATGAATCCTCAAACCCTTGCTTCCTCTCCCTTAAAGCTGCAAACTGTTTTGTCTGGACTTGTAGATATTCGTAACATGATGATTTGATTTCCATGCCAAGGCTGACAAGGGAGTACAATTCAGCAAAATGACATGGCCTGCCCCATTTGTAACTCAAATATTTAGTTTTTCTGTATATATACATATACATATAGTAAAATTGTTTATATATCTATATGAGATATGTTTATACATATTTATATTAAAATATAAATAGATATAAAAAGCATAGATTTATTATTTTATTCCATATTAACTGAAAACTGTTCATGCAATACAGGAAGAAATACACACAGCACAGCTTCTCTAGGGAGGCAACAAGAACTTTTCAGATGAGATTAAATGATGAGGGCAGGGCTCCCCGAAAAGCAACAGCAGATGACCTGAAGGCAGCAGGTACCTGTTCACCTCCTGCTAACCCAGCATCACAAAGCCACATTACTGCAGAAAAACTCAGAGCAGAGTTTCTGCTAACCACCGTGGCAGGACAGGCAGCACCTGAATCTGACATAGCACCAATCTGAACAATGTCAAAATATTTTGACAATATGTTTGAAACAATGAGCATATATTTGAAACCAGCSAAGTTATTTTATCCCAAATTAGCACTTCCGTGACACACCCACAAGAATTCCATGACATTCTTAATCCACTGCTCTGAGCCCCCGAGGCCAGATTAATTTTTTGTTGATGCAGAGCCTGAGAGTCATTGAGCTAAACGAGTTGTGACAAGATCCAGACTTCATGAAGACATAAACGATTTTCAGGTTAGCACACTAACCCCAACAGCAGACATACTTCTGGTGACCAATCTAGCTCCCTGTGACATTAGCAGATGAAGTGCTTGCCATAAAACTAAGTTTTTTCTTCCTCCTCTGCACTATGCACTAGAACATCTTTCTGAGCTCTTCAGTAGTAGTTAGATGACCGTAAAAACCTGACTGCTTGCCCTCAGCTTTACCCCATCGTTTTTTTTCTTCCCCGAATGCGAGATGTGAGATGTCACCTTAATGACAGATTTTGCTCTTGGAGTAACAAGCAGCATGGTTGGGTTGTTCCCTATTCATTTCTACCATCATAGAAACAAAAATAAACAAAATTGTTTAATTCACCTTGATAGCCATTGTTATCTGCATCAACGCCACTTGCTATGGATTGTCCAAACATGCTCAAACCATTACTGACACGATGTCCTTGTATTCTCTGAAGGAGAGGGGAAAAAGGAAAGAAGATTATTCTTGGACAGCTAATCTTTCAGTTATGTAGCACAACTGCCTGCCTCTGAAAGTAGGTACTTCCCAGGGAATGTTTGACTCTGAAAGCGATGTTCCTCCACTGCTGCAAATATTATACCCCATAAATCCCATGTGAAGCCTGTAGAACTTTTTTTTATGTTACAAGTTATGTTTTATGACCAAAAATCACAGGCTGTGTACAAATATTCTGAAAATTAATTGTTTTAAAATAATTCAGCTGTTCTGAAAGTTAAATTACAGAAAACAGTCCCAAATTTAAGGCTTTTCTGGATTTTTTTTTAATAATAGAAATAGCATACCTGTGAAAATGATGGAGTTATTCCATCGTCCCTGCCGTTGTATATATAAATAACTCCTTTCAGATCATCTTCCTGTGGAGCTCCAATTGCTACATCTGTAGGAAAACAGTTTAATGAGAGAAACTAATGATTTTTAAGTCTTTATGTTACAGGCATATTACATATTACTTGTAGAATGCCTACARACTTTTATAACCTTTTCAGCAAGAAAAACTGGCAGACTGAACCAGTCATATAATGAATGTAGATGCATTTACAACAAATACATGTGTACACCACTCGAAAGCAGAGATCTGATCTGGCAACACGATAAGGGGATGCTGTGCAGCTGGGCCATCTCTACACAGCTGACTTTGACCACAGTTGTTTTCCTAACAGCTTGAGCGTGACAGCTCATTCTGCCCCTTGGAGGAAGCGGAAAAGCTTCTGCAACTTTGCAGTTTGGAAAAGGAACTCGTGATATAAGGAAAACGGCCGTGCAGTTTCTGTTCTCTCTTATCCTGGTGCTGCAGGCGGGGCTGAGGTGGCTCTCAGACAGCCAAGGACAGGTCACCCAAGGCCTGCCCAGCACTGCTGTGGTCCTGGCAGTGGCTAAATCACAASGTGCATCTTGCCTTCGCATGAGTTTCTCAGGCACCATCAGCTGTGCTTCTCAAAGACCTGATCTTGAGTAAGTAGGTGTCTGTGCTTACACACCAAAATGACTGAGCTGCATCAACTCCATCTTCTTTACTTTGTATTTCTGCTACATCTTATTGCCTGAACTGACACCAAAACCTCTTCATACAAGGTTGTCTTCAGGCTTTAATGGGAGGAATACTTGTGCTCAACTCATATACAAAGACAAGTTAAAGAAAGCCAAATCATGATGCATGTAGTGCCTGACCAAATTGGTGTGACTGAATTCAGAAATAAGTGCTAAAGATTAAGGCAAACAGAACCAAACCATRTGCTTTGGGTGTCCCTACTGGAGCAGGGGGTGAGACTAGATGATCCCCASAGGTCCCTTCCAACCTCAACCATTCTCGGATTCTGTGTAATACGGCCAGGACAGTCATATGACTGTGCCTGAAACACTGTGTTTCTGCAAAACAAGGCCAGCCACAGGCATTAACCTTTTTTAAAAAAAATCTGTTTCCTAACAGTACTGTATATGGCCCCTCCGATATTATCATGCAGAGTGGCCAAAATGACCATGGCATTTAYATATATATATATATWAAAAAAAAAAGCTTAGCCTTTCTGAAACTAAGATTATTTTCCTTCACTCTGCTATTCCCATATGGCTCAAATTAGTCTTTTAAATAAGTCTTTTTTTCTAGTCTAGCCCAAAATGAACCATGTATTTTCCTCTGAAATGTTCTCAGCAGCTAATAACAGCTTGAACAGGCATTCAGCGAGGCAATGAAGGTAGCTGGTTTAAACAAAGGAATATGTTTTATGGGGAGATGATTTACACCCAGATGGGTGTGCAAACACATAAACAAACAAACCCTTAACAGCCCTTACCAAAATATTACCAAAAAAAAAAAAGGTTCAAATAGCCAGAGGACACTTAGCAAAAGAGGGGGGGAGGAACGAAAGGGAGAGTGAATTACAGTATAGGAAAATTCACCAGTATAAATTAATAAATGCAAAATTTCATTCACAAATGAAACAGAACTGAACAATCTGCAAGTACAGAAAAGCCGGTATGTGGCACCAAATCAAAAACACACACACAGCAAAGCTCTGACGACTTGGTTTAGCTGAATGGCTCTCTGATTGAATCCATACTAGCTGAGCCCATACTTCAATGACTAAAACACACAAAGTATGTTATGTCTCTCTGCTGGTGAGATGAAAATAGGACAGCCAAGTTATGCTGTCTAATTAAAGCAAAACATATGTTAGGGGGGTGGGGTTGGCGTCCACACGAACACACATGCCATTAGCTTTGCAGGGCCGATACGGACCGTTTGTGTCACTGAAGAAGTTGGCTCTGCTGTGCTTTTTTATTACTGACTTTAGACAAGTGGCCCCTATCACCAAATTTGTCTTTATATTTTGCTTCCAGCTGTTCTTACAAGAAAAATCAATTCTTTTGTCSGCTTTTCACTCTAAATATCTTCTGCTTTTTTTCAGCTCCCTACAACGGCTTACTACGCCTTCCCCTACAGTTTTATGATGACACTCTATGTTATATTGTGTCATATGCCTATTTTGCTCTGCTGCTATTAATTYGATTTTACTTCTGTGTTCCTCAGCTCTATATTTGGATATTGTTTTCCTTTGCAGTTCACAAATGTTTTGGGGCAAACTCAGAAGGTTGTGTGTAAAATTCATAGAACATTTTGGCTCAAAAGTGAGCTCCTGAATCTTGGAGGAGCAGAGAGCTCCTGCTGTATTTCTATCCTCTCTCTACACAGCCTGTCATGATGACCTCTCTGCTGAAGGGAAGTGCATGCAGATTGCTCAAACACTGACCATTCCTGCCTGTTTGAAAACATGACAAGATGAATGCAAGCACTGAGCGAGTTCCCCTCTGTCTGCCTTCAATTTAGCTGAAGGCCCCTGAGTCAAGCACGTATTTGCAAGCTACCTATACAGCCATGGGCTCAAGAAGGGAAGCAGCTGGGAGTGGAAATTTATGCAGCAGTTACATTTTAGAAAGCCTGAATGTAAGTAGAAGGCAAAAATTAAATTTGATTTTGTTTTGTGCTTTGATACTTACCTTCATAACCATCATTATCAATGTCGCCTAGATTGGCTATGGACTCTCCAAACCTGGCTGCATATGAGTCACTCCCACTGAGCTCTGTGTCTAGTTCTGCCATTTTTGCCTCCTGAGGAAAAACAAAATCCATGAGAAGGACATTAACAACGCGTGTTCCAGATGACTGCAGTGATTACTCCAAATATCAAACGGCTTTTGGATGGTAAGAGAAAAATCATCTTTGCTGCACAAGGCAGGGTTGTCAAAAATTTTCAGCAATATTTAGCTCAGTTTATATTCAGATTGTTTTTTAAGAAAGAGGAAAGCAGTGTATTGCCACAGTAAACATCTCCAAGCAGCAGCAAGCTCACCTCAGAGCACAGGTGCTTACAGGACACAGCAAACTCTGCATGTGTTTGTGTATACATATATACATGTGAACACATAGGCACAAAAAAGACAGTAACGAGGAGCTGCTTCAGAGCCACTCCATGTGCTCTGGTAACTTGCAGGTTTCCTAGAGTGGCTTAATTCTCTGTGCAATCATAGTCAGAAAATGTTAATGCTAAAATAATGAATGCGCAACAKTGTATGAGGAGGGATGGAAAATGGATATGGAGATAAAATTAACAACATCAGATAAGTTCATAAGCAGATCAAAACCAGAGTGATTATATTTTCATTTCTGATACCTAAAAAGAATAAAAGGAAGATGGTTCTAATACATAGTCTGTCTAGCTTCTTTATTTGCCAAACTGGAGAATTTTAACAGATCCACCACTGTTCGTCCTTGTTTCTCCTACTAACTGCACACAAATATTTCATCCCCTCTTTGCTTTGGAAATGCTAAGTTGCTCTTAACACCACTTCAGGAGTGAGCATGGTAGTGGGAAGAGRGCTTGATGTGGGAAGCAGTAGCAGGCTGCAACTGTCACAGCTAGTGTGAAGCACAGCGAGGCTGCCTTCAGCTCCAACACRAGCGTAAGCAGCGTGCTGAGGCTTACCCAGCTCACGGCTGACATGCACATATGCTTCAGAGTCCTGCTGCTGTTTTTCCACACATTCTGCTCTTGCTAGAAAGTCAGCTTGTTTTACGGATAACACTTGGCACTACTCACCGGTGGATATGGGATCCTYGTACTGGTACTAAAGTTGTTTTGCTCACACCTTACAGTAAGAGATAGGAAATCTCTTTGGGTTATTACACTGCAATGAATATTATATGTTCTTAAGAGAAAATACTTACAGAACCYGAATTGATGTAAACATAAACTCGTCCTTCTTCTCTAATGGTGCTTTGCATTGGAGCACCCACTAGCAAGTCTGAGAGGCCATCTGAGTTCAGGTCCACAGCACACACTGCAGCYCCAAAGTAGGAACCAAGCTGTGTGCAAACAAAAAATCCCATTATCCTCAAAGTTTTATGAAGGCAGGCTGGAAGTTCTGAGGTGTAGAATAACTGCATTAAAGCTTTACCTTTTTACCCTTTAGTTCAAATAGAATAGTTAGTTGCTTCTCAATGCTAAAAATGTATGCCTAAAACAAAGAGCAAATAAAAGTAATGTTCAGTGAGCAGTAATATGAAATACTATTTTGTGCTTTTTCTATAATGGGGGCTAGAGAATCATCCAGAGAACATGCAACATCCCAATGTACAGTTATTCTTTGTTTCCTATCTGCACCTTTCCTTAATACCATATTTCACAGCAATCATTCAGATTATTTTTCTATCATTCCTTCTCTGCTCTTTTTCCCCATGAGAAACTGTATTATCCAACACTTGTCTTTATCGCATTACCCTAAACTGGAAACCCCCAGGGAGAGGGGCACAAGGAGATCCTCTTCAGACCAACAGCATGAACAAGCTCTTACTTTACCAGTCTGCTCCTGCTGGGGAGCTCCTCCAATGACTTCTATACTGGTTGACGTCAGAAAATGCCCAGCTCCAACAGAGTATCCTGTAAATCAGAAACGCACTACTCAACACTTTCAATAGCACATAAAGAAGAAGTTGGAATATAACACATAAAAGCTGTCAACACTACTGTTTGACATACAGACCRCAAACAAGCTACTAATGTAAAAACAATAGAAAATTCTTCAAATATAAACCAAAGGTCAATAAAAACAGTAAGTTAAAGCAACTTCAGAGCTGTTGTGGTCAGAAACACTCATTTCTTCTCAACGTCTAAATTATCTGTCATTTTWAAAGGGCTTTTTAAAAAAATGCAAGCATCTTCTATACATGCATGTTCACTAAGTGTTCAGTGGCTCCAATATTGCAAAACCAAGTATCAGCTGTTCTTGTGCTCTTGTTCTAACTGGACTGCAGAAAAAATGCCACGCAGCACTACCTATATGTGTGTGCGTACATATATATTGTTCATATTGTTTTACATACACATATATAAATACTGTACTTTATATACACACATATGAAGAACTCGGGAACACTTTGGAGCGGGTCTGATTGGGCAATAAGAAAACGTTTCATCAGTTTTTSTAAATGAACAAAGTGTCTGTGTCCGTGGAAACAGCTCTTGACAAACAGGGCCCTGCTGATGCAAAGCCCAACCACAGAATTGCACACGAAAGGCTGGGGCCTAAAGCTGTAGCTGCCTGAGTCACCCTTGCTTCTCCTGAAGCCCATCACGGCCAAGCTGAGCCAGGGACAACTGTAAACATATTTTGCTCATCTTGCATTTAAGAAATTTCTGATGATATTCACAGCATGTAGAGAAAAGAGAAAAAAAATCACCTTGTGAGAACAAACCTTATATCTTTCATCTGTAAAGAAAACTGCCTGGTGTTAAAGTTCTCATTATGCCAGCATTTTATTGTCATTTTTTAAGCTAACAAAGGTGAACATGACAATTTATCATTTAAAGGTCAACACCTAGTTTTTACTTTATTCAGCAAAAAATTAAGCTTAAGTGGATAAGCCTTCATTTACCCCCTCTGACCTTTACCTTCTGGTTATTTTGGTTTTGCTGAAGTATAAATATTAATGTTTTTACAAAATTGATTAAAAAAAAAAGAAGAAGAAAAAAAGAAAACTAAGGTAGTCTATGCTTTCAGTGTGGTATAAAAAGGTTGGGGGAAAGGCTATGGAGAAATTGTGAAGCTAACCCTTAACAAACTAACACTTAAAAGCCCTACATAACTGAATCTGATTGTATTTCCAGCCACAGAATTCCCTCTTGTTTACTGAAGTTTGGCTGACTCAAATTACACCAACTTTTCTTTTTCCCCTGTTATATTGACCTTCCATTTTTCTGAAACATTATTAGTCCTTCTCAGGTTCCTAAAATAAACAATTACTTTGTGTTTTCTTTAAGATGGATCCTGAAGTACCTTCGGTTACTCTTTCATCAGGCCCAGTTGATTTGAAAGATGGACTTACTTATCTGATCCCTTTGAAGATGATTGCTATTAATCTCTGAGGATCTCATATTTTGGATAACTCAAGGAAATCACCAAACATTATGCATTCCTAGCTTCTCTTTCCAAACCTGCTTTCTGCTTTTATGTATCTCATACTTAAACATCTTCATTTCTTACAATTTAAAATGTTATGATATTTTCTCTTTCCCTCCAAATTGTATTCTAAGTTGTTAGGTGTTGCTCTGTTTAAAAAGATGTAAAAAAAAGAAGCCAACTAAGAGACTCTGCCAGAAGAAATGAATAGGAGAAGTATATAATTATGTGTAGTTATGTGCCTTGAATTACAGTCTGCTCACAATATATCTTGATCATTTGTTAAAGATTTTTTTTTTCATCATTGAAGATATAAACAAAGTCATCTGTAAAAAATGTTTGATAACAGAGTTAGCCAAAAGTAGATTTCAGGCCAAGTCAGTGCAAAAGATGGGAAAGGAGAGAAGCTGAGGAAGGGTAAGGGAAGATACCTTCACTTCCTTTCAACTACAGTGTTATTATGAAGAGACCAAACAGAGGTTTAAGCAGCATGTAACAAAAGGGCAACTCAAGGCTCATCTCCTGTGGTTGTGCACAGAGAGAAGCRAGTTGCTCCCTCCTCCTCCTCCTCCTCCTTCCCTTTCCCCTGGGAGGGGCAGAGCTGCGAGGCCGGCAGTCCTGCCCGCAGCTCTGCCCGCTGCACCTGCCCCTGCGCAGCCGCTCGCCAGCACACTCCAGTATAGCCAAGTTCTGGAAAGGCAAGGGAACCAGGGGAAACTTCATGCATGACAAAATTCCTTCACTGCACCTCTCCTATCAATATTCTTATAGGGGTTTTACCATTTGCCTATACCCGACTTTCTGCTATCAATGACTTGACTCAKTCATTACAGAAATTCCTGCTCTTACACTCGACAAAGCATAAGAGCAGACATCCAGGATGGGCCTTCTCTGGGCAGGTATAATCTCTAGCTGCCTGGTTGTTGTTGGAAAGCTGCAGAGAGGTTTTACAGCGCTCTCCAAAGTTTTCTTCAACCCATGAAAGGTTACATACATTATTGATTAAGCACACTGATGTGGTATCTGATCATTTTTTTACCATATGGCATCTCTTCTGCATAACATCCCCTCAAATCCGGAGCGCAACCTTTCAAAGGCTCAGTTGTGAATTCTGGTGTTATCAATTTCACATTGCATAACAGTTATTTCATAACTTATGTCTCCTCCCTACTGTCAGAAAAGGGAAATCAGAAATCAAAGCTCTTTATCCASATGCACTGAATCTATGGGTGGAAAAATGCCAGATCAAAGGTCATAGACAAAAGCAATTCCGCACACTAACTCAGGAAGGACAGACAAGCCTTTCTTAGCACATAATGAGAAAACTTAAGTTCCTAATGGTTCTGGCACAAAAAAAMCAAACAAACTACAAATTCTCATGCTAAATGCAGTTAACTGCTTGGACGTTGGTACATTGGTAAGAGTTGTGTGGCTTTCAGTACAGACATAGTTTGATAAGGTTTGCATTCTCACGCATCCAGGAACGAGACATGGATATGGTTAGAATATATTAAAAAAGACCAGACTCAAGTCTGTGTCTTAAGGCCATAGTATACCTTCCGTTATGGATACTGTAACTGGAGATCACTTAAATTTAATTTGAAATTAAATTTTTAAAAATACCTAGATAACTGCCAAACTTCACTTGGTTATTGGAATCCGTATAAGCGTGGATGGTATTTGCAGTTGTGTTGTACACAAAAACAGAACCAGTCCAATAAAACGATCCTGGGGCTCCCATTATAATCAAGTCCTAAAAGAAAAATAAAACAAACTCATGTTATACATGTTTAAATATTCATGCAGATAGGCAAGCAAGTCAACTGCTTTCCCTTAGGCCTCCTCAGTAATGCAGGATATATGGACTCACTATTGGGGGATTATCACAGGAGCAAAGGCAATATTTCTCAGGCTATCTAGGCATATGGCTACTAAAACTTTGAACTGCCAATCACTTAAAATAAAGCAACAAACAAGATAGTCTCTTCTCAAAGGAATGTTTTAAAAATCATAGTCTAGTGGCAGAACATTGATTGCACAAACAAGAAGGAAACCAAGGAAAGCCTTATTCATATTAATGTTGCATTAAATAGATTACTGTAAAGAGAATAATAAAACTTCATACTGGTTAAATTCTTGCTCTTTTTCTTCATGAAAAGCAATTTTTGATTTGGACGAAAATGCTAAAGTATCCCCAGTTAACTATGAATTATCAAGCAAGTCTTATTAAGATTCAATTGAACAGAAATTAAGTCTGATTTTTCCCTCCATTTAGAAAGATAGAACGTGCATATGTATATATGTATACAGATGGGGAGGTAAGTTTGATATCTTTTATACACACCTCAATGTAAAAACTAGACATTCCAGCCTGGCACGACCCATGGTTTTCTCCAAACTTTCGCACGTGATCTGGATATTGGCAGGAAGTATTAAAAAGAAGGAGAAGCAATGTCATTTCCGATTTTTTTTAGTAGATTTCCAACAGGGAAAAAAAAAAAAAAAAAAAAAAAAGGACAAAAAATGGCTTTCAGTTCAGTAATAAAGCTGAAAACACTGTTTTCCACTGTGTAGCCTTTAGCTCCAAAAACAGTATATAACAAATTCAAAGCAGTGTGTACCTCTTGATCACAGCTGCCTTTGAAGTCTTGTGCTTTTAAAAGTTACTTTTCTCTTTAGATTATTCCATGAAAGACATATGCCAAGTGAAACAGTATATACATAGTTAAGGTGGCACAGATGCGTAGGTTTAACTCTTTCCTTTGCACTCTGGCACATAGTGTGTTTGACAAGCATATGTATCTTCATAGGATTTGGGCTGATGATCCATTCAAGCTYGGAAGGGTTTGTGTTGTGGACATCTTAAAAGCATCGTTATCTACCATCCTTAGTAATTTTCTCTATATTCAACTCTTCCAGCTCTGTTTTCCTGCTTTTCCTCGCTAGTTGCTAACAAGGGGCAGGCTCGTTAGGTTACCTAAGGTTACCCTTACCTAACAGCAAGGTACCAAAGAAAAAGCCAGGGATTCAACTGGTTTGATAGCTTCAGAGCTTGATTCTTATTCTGGCACCTGCAACCTTCTGAGGAGAAGGTCTGCAGAAGATCTCACATTGCTGGCCCAGGCACAGCAGGGAACAAGTTCAGAGCAGGAATGCACGAGCAGGAGACRAGGCTGAGGGGCTGTTTGGAGAAGGCTACGCAGCAACAACTCCTGAAGATGCTGCTTGGATTTCACTGTGAGCAGGGTGTTGAGTAGAGAGAGCAGGTAACAGAGCAAAGGAATGAAGGGATGACGCTCCTGCACTGGCTTTTTTTGAGGAGCCCACGTCCTTCAGGGTCCCGTCCAATGAGGAARTGCTCTGATGCCTTATTTAAGCCATTCCTTTTTACCTGCTGAAAACAACTTCAAAGTGATAAACATCTTCCTAACAGATTTATATTATAGGTCTTATATTAGTCTTTGAGCCTTTGGCTGCAGAAAGCCTGCCGAGAACAACACAGGTTCTTCATGCTCTCTGCATCATTTGATTTTACATCTTATTCTTTCCTAGGAATGACTCAAGCATTCTGCTTACCTATATAACACGGGCATATTCTTCTACTCAGTTCAGTTCGAAAGTCAGAAGAGATGGCAAAACAAATACCATTAGGTAGTTTGTGTTCATTTTTGATATAAAAGATATTTTTCCATCTATGTCCACAAGCCTATGAAGAAAAGACAAGTATCATGTTTGACACAGAAGCAAAAGAATGGTGAAGGCAGACTGACAAGTGGATCCACAGTCCCCCGGGTTATACATACAAGGATAGATCCATTTTCTTTTGGCTGCCTTGATAAGCTGACACCCAACCACTGGTTATCGCGCTCTTCCAAACAAGTCTTTCCACAGCGCTCGCCACTGGGGTTGCCTGCAACACAAAGACCAAGGCTGAGCAGATGGCCAGACCAAAACAACACATGGCCCATGACTCCAACACTAGAGAGTTCTGCTGAAAGGCTTCAAAAGGCCACTTTGTTGGACCTTATGCCTGTGTTTTTTATGTAAGCTTTTCCATGCAAATGGTTCACATTYCTCTCGAACAAAGGTAAGGCTGTGTGTGGTTACAGAGAACATGTTGTTTCTGAACATGACTGATTTGGCAGTGAGTATCTATTTCTCTGTCACTATTAAATTATGCAAGAATATRAAGATTTACATGGGAGTGGGCTTATACTGCAAGTCTGAATTCTCTAACCTAAATTTTGACTTTTGTGAGTGCCCAAGGTTCACAGGTTTGGACTTTATCACAGGTTTTCACCCTGAAAATTCATAAGAAATCCAAGTAGCATCTCTGGTACCCAAACTATGTATRCAGGTCCTGTATCTTTCCTGCACTTTCATTTATTTGTAAGTGCCTCTTTAGTGATTTATTTTCTTTTTAAGAAAAGTTAATTGTTAAAACCTTAGGGAACAGAGTGAACTTCCTTTAAACTCCCCAAAGAGATATAGTGTTGCCCAGTTAGCAAATATTTGCTTCCTCACAGAATCCAGTGCTAGAGCAGTATCTGTGGCAAGGAGAAACTATACATTCAAAGAGATGTTAAGGTCCACAAAGCAAGCTTGGCGTTTATGAATGTACCTGTGTATGTCTGTGTGAAAAGATGGACAGTGACCAAAATATTGGCCCTGCATGACTCAATTTATGAGAAAAATAAAACTGCATGCAAAGTAAGTGATCTTTTGGCTAATTTCAGTACTTTCCCAGATTCAGCACAGCCACTGAAGACCCCACAATTTTTGAAGTTTAAATGGGTTTCGTTGCCCAGAAGAGGGCGCCAAGACAGGCCATAGACTACAAGGACAAAGGTGACATTGTCCTGGAAGACAAACCAATCCCGCATCCAAACAGCACTCACATGAGAGCTGAAATTTATTACTACTGAATGAAGCAGGGCACTTAAAGAAATACCTGCTAGTATTTCTTGAATTCCTTTCAGAGGAGACACAGGCACCCAATTCAGTATGAACGTAGAGTAAGGGCTCTACCTGAAATATGGCTATGCTGAGGGCTCTATCTATAATTAGGCTATTCTGAGGGAGGGTGAATTACTGTGTGCTTTATTACATACATTCTCATATCTAACAGTGTTTAAGATGATTTTGTATTTAGGACATCAGAGCCTTTTTGAGGGGGGAAAATAATTTAATAGACTTTTTGAGGGGGGAAAATAGTTTAATAGAATCAAGAAAATCATTTACTGTATGGTTAAAATTAAAAAAAAAAAGAACTCAGTGAAAGCATCCATAGGAAAACTCAAGAGTCATTCTTATTCCAGAGCTCACTCCCTACTAGCATGTGACAACTGTTGTGACCTTGATTTCTTTCATTTCCTTACTATCTCACCCCTTCTTTTTCCACACACAGCATTTTCTACTTGCTCTGACAAAAAGATGAAGGTAGTCTTAGTCTTTTGTAGGTAAGGTAGTCTTAGTCTTTTGTAGGCTAAGGTCTAAGTGAGAAGCTTCTGAATTTGCAAATGCCAGTGACGATTTTCCATGTATTGAACATAGCCTGCACCTTGCCAAAGTTTTCACACACAAGTTTGAATTCTCATTGTATCATGTGGAAGACCTTCCTACCTCAGGAAGACATTTCCATGGTTTGTATGAATTGTAAAGCATGTAAATCCGATGTAAGTCCTCTCAGAAACAATATTCTCTTTCATTGCCATGCTTAGGAATTAATACTCCGTTAAATCACAAAAGCTGCTTGTAGTAACTCCATTTATTTATGACCAGCATCATAAATTTCCATCTTAAAGAGGTTTTCAGAGACTTTCTGTTAGCAAGTCAAGCAAGATCAGGTAGCRGTGGTGTTAGAAGCCAAAGGAAGTTTTGTTTGTTTTAACACTTTTTTCCTTGGTTCTAATACTGAGGTCCATAATGAGAAAGCAAAACAAAAACAAAACAAAATAAAAAAACCCAAAACCTTCCATTCATTTGTGTTCACAGGACTGTATTCCCCTTTTCCTTGACTCTAGCATAAGATTTTCATTCACATTCTCTTTGTCCTTCTGTCTTGATGCTTTTTCTCGGACTAGCAAGTACGCAAACACCTTCAAAATAACAGGCCCTTGGGAGCAAGAGAGAAGCTCAACGGCACAAGGATGAGCAGGGGTAGGACATGATCAGGGTTTTATCCAAAGAGAAGAGAAAATGCTCTTGTCTGCACCAGCAGTGGGGAAGCGCTGTGCAAGCTGCAGAGGACRTGGCAGCCCGGGTGCCCCAGGGAGAAGGAGCACGTGCTGCCGCAGAGGCACCCAAAGATAAGTAATTATCCAGGTACATTACACAGCTGGCAGCAACACTCTGGTTCTTATCGCTGCTCTACACATCCACAGAAGCAACACAGAAATAAGATCACAACTTAAAAAGCCACTTACAGCTCTGGCTGCAAGGACTCGGTGCTGATGTTTGCTGTGTCAACTGAGAAGCTGGTTTTATATCATTTGCTGCAGCTCTCAACAGCCTCTCACAGGCCTTTCTGTCCTCCCAGAACTCCTCYGCTCCTATTGCTAGCTGATTAAAACTGTGAAGCCTATTGCATGGTTGACAATCCTCCTTCTACCCGCTTCTTAGACACCAGGGCCTCACAAGACTTGGTTCRTTCAACCAGGGCTAGATCTTCTCTCTGGAGATTTGATAGGGGTTGGCAACCAACTGTCTTCACCAAAACATTGACTTAGGTAGGAGCTGTTCCCGCAACTCTAGAACAGAGCTAGGTGAAAATGGTCCTGTCTTCATAAGGCTATTTCAAACTAAATCACTGGCAGGTTATGACCAGGGCAAGTAAGATCAAAAAGCCAAACTTCCTCAGGCCAAAAACAAGAAAAAAAAGTGTACTGTGATCAAGCTGAAAAAATGTAAGTTAGTCTTTTGGGAAAAGCTGTTAACTGTTCACTTCTCCACAGGAATGATTCAGCTAGGGGTGCTAGAGGATAATTTGTTCATAGGTTAAATTTACAAAGGACTTACAGGAAGAGCGATACTGTGGGMCAATACTTTTTGACTTCATTTTAAAGAATCTGCATTAGAATTTAGAACTGTGTAAGTTTGTATTTGAAATTTTTTTGGTAGCCTGGATGGCAAATTTTACAAATCATATTSCATGCTATTAGCAAATAAATCACACTCAGTTTCAAAACAGAGAATAATTTTGTGCTTTTGCAAGTCTTTATGCTTTTGCAAGTCCAAAATATACTAAGCAAAAACATTAGAAGAACATTATGCTTCAACTCTGCAGTAATTTATGATTGCCCCAAACTGACATGGGCAAGGTCTTAACATTCTAGAAATTCAAAATTACTAGAGTACAGTCAGTCAGTACCAAAAAATATTGGCRCTTAGTTCTCTAAATAATGAACTTGAAGCACTGGGCGTATTTGCGTACACTATTTGGTTAAAAGCCTCTGCATCTAACCTAAGTCATCATTTAAAAAGAATCCAACTACAAATAAATCAACGGCCTAGAGTACTTGAAAGCACTGACAAAACAGCAGTGCTACAATGAGGAGAGACTCTCAACACTTTATGCTTCCATTCAGCAATCGAGAGATTTATGGTACAAGTGTGGGGCTGGGAAAACAAAAATTAGACAGTGTCTCTTATGACTCCTCTTGGTTTTTAAACTAGCCCTGGTCTCTAGCATCCCAAACAACATTAAAATTCTCCAAATTATGCTTGGATGAGCTATTTCCAGATGCCGGGATGAGTGCAGCACAGAATTGTTTCCAGCAAATCTTTCTCTATTAAGGAGCCAGACAGGATTGTGTGACACCTCCCCCAGTGCTTGCCCTTCCCAAATAAGAGCAATTTTGTGTCATCAGAGGCATCTTGTACAACTGGGCAAGAATCTTTTACTAGTTTTAAGGCTACTTTATTGAAAAATGGCAACAAGATAATTTAATATTCCTATGCCTAAGTACTTCATTTCCTTTTATTATTCTGATATTAGGGGGAAAAAAGTGACCTATATTTCCTGTTATCATCTTTACATTTCTTTGACTTGTAACTAGAGTTATTAGTTCAGAGGCCCTTACACTGAAAAAAAGAATTCAAGCATTGAAGAAAAAGATAAAATGCTATCTCTGAACTCTCCTGTCCCAGCAACATAATACATCCTGCCCAGTTTTCCAAAGAAATCCTGTTCTAAGAGATCAGAACCCAAACTTGTCAATGGAAAAAAGACAAGCAGAAGGAGGAGGAGGTCACTGATTGAAAGACATAGTCTAGATTAAGCCATCAAAACCAAAAGCTGCTGACAGTCTGAATGAGCTACATAAGAGATAATTAAGTTTAACTTTGCAATTCAAAGTTCCCTTGCGCATTTCTGTGACTGCTCAGCACACAGGTAGCAGCTTACTCAAATCCAAACCCTTACCAAAAACCTTATCCCGCTCAATTTACATCCCGTGCACCACAGCACGGTGTGGCTATTTTATTGACCTCACTTCACATGTAACACTGCTTTCAAGTACCTACTTATCTTTAGAAATACCGCAGAACTAGCATGGTGTTATCAAGAAGTTGCCTAGCACTAAAGGAATAAACACTTTGTAAAATTTCTGCTTCTCTTTGTGGTCTCACTACTTTTAAAAGGGCAGAGTAAGGCAGTAAACACTACTGTGTATATGCAGTCTCTAAATATGGAATGGGAGACTCACTAAACCAAGCCCTTAGGACCACAAACTTGTTCATCAACTCATCATAACAACTGAGAAGAAGCCACTGAGTTACTTTTTTAGAGTTCGTTTCTCCACTGTCCAAATTAATAAAGAAATACTGCAGGACACCAGTAGTTTACAAACAAACTCAAACCCTAGGACCTTTTCCCTCTTTTCTTTCCCTCATGTAGTCAAAGACTGCTATTACTCCACTCCAGAAGCAGGGATTTAGTGCCTTTTAGCATCTGCCGTTTTATCCATTTAGTTGAATTCTCTGACCTTTCCAAATTTCCTCTTATAGACAAGAGGTTGGAGAAGAGTTCTTTATCATTTTTCAATACATCTAGTGTTGKAATGACATTACTCAAAGAGAACCACCTTGTCTGGAATATGTTTAATTGCAGTTCTGTCTATAAGCAAGTGCTGTCTTTTKCAAAGAAAGCACCACTGATGAAGGTTCGCTTTCTGCAGCTTAAGTGTGAAAAATAACTTTTATTTCCAGCTGCTGGAAAACTGGCTGAAAGCTGTTGCTTCTATGTCCAACTATGCATGGATGTAAAATGCTATGCATGAAGAAATTACATTAAAATGTTATTAGAATAATAACATTAAAATGTTATTAGAATAACATTTTTGTCATAACGTCTTGTATTCCTGCCCTGAAGACACATCAGCCCATGGCGCTTTATCGCTTTTGCTGGTTGAAAAGCTTTTCCCGCGCTTTTATCCTTATTGGGCGGCAAGGGCACAGTTTTAACGGATCCAGTGACTTCTGATTTATAGCAAGCGGGAAAGTTCAGGAAACTCTCAATGCATAATGCGAGGGTAGAGTTTGAAAGTCTATATGCAAGTAGGACAAGAACAGAGGCCAGAGCAACAACACRTGCACAGCCAGCAGCTGCAGAGAAGCCTCGCTTTGAGCGAGAGCCTSCAGGACTTGGCAGCCTCCCACTGCGTGAGGACAGGGGAGGCAGAGAGGTTAGGCTAACTGCAGGCCAGCAAACTTGACCGTGTGGTGAGGAGTTTTGCCCCTCTCCAAAGTTCAGTTTTCCAGTACGCTGGCAGGTGGGAAGCATCTAGGAGCACTGCGTGGTGCTGCACCCTTGCTTGAGGGTGGCTTTGCCAGGGGGATACTTTGAGGAGAGCTGGTGATTTTAACCCATCYCTGAGTGAGCTGCTCAAGAAGCTGAACCAGCCTTCTGAAGGCAAACATGAGAGAGGGARAGAACCGGCACCCTCCCAAGGGCCCGGCAGCAGGGGCCGAAACGCGCGCGCAAGAAAGCGCAGTGGAAACGGGCACACCACCCCAGCCTCGTTCCCCTGAGCAAGCTCCGCTGCGCTTCTCTCCATGGGGAAAAGAAATAAAAAAGGAGGCGCCGGCTTTGCTACCGCTCGGGGACAGCGCCCGTGCGACCCTGGGCGCGAGGGCTTCAGCCTCGAGGGGCCCCTCGAGGCGCGCGCGGACCAGCCCGAGCCGCCGCTCTGCACGCGCCACAGCGACCGTTACAGCCGCCCGCGCGGCCGTTACAAGCGGCCGTTACACGCGCCCGCCTGGCACGCGCTCGCGCGGCCGTTACACGCGCCCGCCTGGCACGCGCTCGCGCGGCCGTTACAAGCGGCCGTTACACGCGCCCGCCTGGCACGCGCTCGCGCGGCCGTTACAAGCGGCCGTTACACGCGCCCGCCTGGCACGCGCTCGCGCGGCCGTTACAMGCGCCCGTTGCAGGCGGCCTCGCCGCTACTCACCCAGCTGGAGCTGCTCGCAGTCCCCGCGGGGGTTCCCTCCGATGCGGCAGCGGAAAATGGCCCCGGGGTTGACCACGGAGCTGTTGGCGGACCAGTTCGCGCGGGGGGCGCCCACGACGAGCCTGCAGGTGAGAGAGGGCGGCGTGACGGGACGGGACGGGGCCGCCGCGCAAACTTGTGGCGCGTCCCGGAGGAGAAGGGAGGGGGGACAGGCGGCACAGGGAAAAAGCGCCCGCCGCGCTCCGCCGGCCGGAGCCGCCCGGGCTCCCACGACGAGCCCCCCAGGCTCTAGGTACCGGCCGCGAGAGAAGCGTCGACAGCCGCTGCGCGGCCGAGCCCCSCGCCGCCCCGCGCCTCACCAGCTCTCGCCGCCGTGGCGGTGCAGGAGCACCGAGTAGCCGAAGAGGGTCCCGTTGCCGCCCTGGAAGAGCAGCGGGTGCTGCGTGTCCAGGTTGTAGGGCCGCGCGGCGGGCAGGCGGTGCCAGAGCAGCAGCAGGAGCAGCGACGAGGGCAGCGGGGCAGCCCCCCGCGCCGAGCCCCCGTGGGCGCTCCGCATGGCTGCCGGCCGGCCGGCAGCGAGAGAGGGAGGGAGACGGTGCCCGCCGCTGCCTTCCCGCTCCGCCGCTGCCTCCTCCCCGCGCCGGCCCCCGCCCCGGGACGGCGGCGAGGCGAGGCGGGCGCGGGGCGGGGGCGCCGGGCCGGACCGCCCGCCCCTTCTCCCCGCTGCCCTGCCCCTCGGCCCCCCGGCTGCTGCGCTGGGGTCCCGGGGCGCCCCTACCCTGCTGGCCGCGGGGCAGAGCTGTGTGTGCTAGGGCGCTGCCGCCTCCCCGGCCCGCGCTGCCCGGGGGTGCGAGGGATTGCTGTGATGGTTGCAGGGGGGAGATAGACTAGGTTTGCCCTAAAATGCTCCTTTACCACCCCAGCTGCCCTTGAAATAACTGAACTCRCTTATTTCAATTTCCTCTTCCCTGAAATGGGTCTCATCTCAGTTCTAGCCTGAGAATATTAGCCAAAGCTGGGGGATCATCTTCTCTGGAAGAAACTTACATGGTTATATTACATCTTCTTAAAATGATCTCAGTGTCATGTTGTTGCAAGACTTCCTGCATGGCCATTGCATTGAGGGGATCTTTTTGCCTTTTCGTTTTGGTGATGAGGTGGTATTTGAACCCTAAAACTGGGGTCTCAGCAGTAGAGAACAGGAAGCATTTGTTAAGGTAACCTGGATTTAGGACAGTATTGGGCAGGATAAAACGTGGGACAGATATAGGGCTGTGGACTGTATTGATTGGTGGGACTTATGAATGATCCTTCTGAGTCCCTTCAGAGCCCTGTGTTGCACAAAAATGGTATCTGATGCTGACTTCTTCTTTCTACACAGGAAGAAGTCACAATACTCCTTCTCCCCCATCACTTTTTTTTCCCCCTACATTTTACCMAAATCTTTTCACATTCCTGTCCAGTTTTCTTTCTGGAGCAGAATTATTAGCCATCGGATCAAACAGCATGAAAGAAAAACTTTAGTATCATGAAGGAGATCTTGGAAAGTCTGTCTTGGTCATAAAGAGGAGCTTTGCTATGTGCATTTTCTGAAGTCAGTCATCAAGTCTTGATTTAGCTTCTACTGAATTATGTTCAACTGAAATTGAGGCTGTCACTTCAGGCCACAAACTTTGCCTCATCAAGGTCCATTGCCTTTCGGAGTTTCCCTACTGCTGTAATGCTAATCCATTAATGTAGCTATGAATACTGGTATTTTGAGTCTAAGGAGCAAAAACCAAAGAACTTCCTCAATATAAAATATTGTTATGAAACATTACTGAACCTAGTTGACAAAATGGGTATCAATTCAAGTGGTAAAAATTACATGCATTAAGAGTAAGTGTGGGATGGTAGAGAACCTTGTCCCAGTGAAACTTAAAACAGCATTTCAAGCTTCTCTGACACAAAGCTATATCCATTCAGCTGACGTCAGTGGAAAATTTAATACTTGGTCAAAATGCTGAGCAACTACCAGAAGCAATGCATCTTGTTTTGCACTAAATGCCTTCAGATGTGCAGCTCCTTAAATGAGGTCAGCATGTTGCAAGATCATGTTGCAGTTTGTCTGCAGTATGTCTTTTTAAGGTACTCACCTCTAGAGCCATCAGAGCCCTCCCCCAGATAATCCTCATGTGGAGCAGAGGCCATACTGTGTAAAGCAAACAAGTTAAACAGCTCCTCAGGTGCTGTTCATCTTCCTTGAACTACTGACTTCAAGGAGTTACAACAATCAACAGCAGCTGAGAATCTGCCTTTTCTACCAGTCTGTGTTGTTTCTGTCATTCTGAAAGTGGCAAAGCAAGCATGATTCAAAACTGAAACTCAGAACTGTGGTTTAATTGCTGGGAACATTGTTTTGTCCCTGTACTAAGCACTTGGCTGGTGTTTGAAAACTAGTAGGTTTTCTCTGAGAGATCGACAATGTCCTTGGGTCCACTTCTTTTTCACAAAGTTCTGTTTCCCTGAAGGTAGGGGGAGCAAAGAACTTTTCACAGTTTCCATGCGTGCTTTTCCTCAGCAATCCTAAGTCCTAAACATCGCTGTCCTTTCTGCTCTTTTTCAAGACCATACCTGTCTATCATTTTGCAAATACTTGCAGCAACCATGTACAACTGCAAGCAATCAAACACTGTGGCCTGTATTTGTAGCCGTTGTGGGAGGAGAGAAAAAGGGATTGAGCTGCTGCCAGGCATCTTAGCTGACAGGAAAGACAATAAAGCGAGCATGTGAACAGCTGTGTATGTGATGCAGATGTGAACTGGGTGGAAGAGAAATCAATACTGAAATGTGAGAAACCACTATTTCAAAAAATACTTGAGATTTTGGGTTGTGGCCAGGTGGGAGAGCAAAATCTTAATGCAGAATTGACCAAACCATGTAATAGAGTTTGAGTTTTGTTGGAGATAAGGAGAACTTTTAGAAAAGGTGGAACCAATGCAGAAAGCAAGGTAAGAATATTTATAAAGAAAATAAGAACATAATAAATTATATACATTTATTTGTACCTTATTTATAAAGAATATATATTTCCCATAAACTATGGGTACTAGAGTTTTTCTGAAAAAAAATAAAGAGAAATCCTTCCCAAGTATCATGCTGCAGAGTTGTCTATACAGAGCATCTCTCCTTTTACTATGTGACAGCAGAACAGCAACTTTGAGTTATTAAGTCTAGAAGAAAAATGTCACAGTGACTTACTCTTCAACTTGATATTGGTGTGTGTTCATTATCTACCTCCATTTCAAAGAAGGTATTGGGATGGTTTGTTGAGTGAGAAAATATATTAGGTTGCCGTCAGACAAGTATTTTTTATACTGGATATGCACGCTCAGTCTGACTGTCCTCATCTCTTGCTGGTTATTTTTGAATCAAATTGCTGTCTTTGTTATGTTTGGTACTGTTATGTTTCTGAGCAGTGAAGCAAATCACAGAAGCAATACAGGTTAAAAATAGCTCAGCAAAAAACCCAACCTGGATCAGTTTTAAAATGTGTATGTTGAGTGCTTAGACAGTTGTGTTGATAGAATGGTGTAAGCCAGCAATGCTCTTTTAGGAAGTTTCTCAGAATACAGTCTTAATTTCCTACAAAAAGCAAATGGCAAGAGTTTACAGAGGTAAAGCGTTCACATTAATCTCAAAATGGAAGCAGAAACCCATTTCACCAGATTTCCTGTGCTGATTTCCTGACAAAGCTCAGGGATCTTAGACTAGATGCTCTTTAGATGGTGTCTCTGCGGGGCCYGGCTGGGAGAACTATGTTAGAGTAGCCCTATTGATACCATAAACACCACGCAATAGAGTGTGAACAAGGTGACCATAAGATTATAAATCAGATCGGATCCTTTAAGTGCATTTATTTATTTGCTTCAGTTGGGTCACCACTTTGTCCATCTGTGTATTTGCCTGGGAGTATGTGAAGACAGAAACATAATCATTAAATAGAATCAGATTAATACACTTAACCATATGTTTTTTTCTATAGATTTTCCCATCTAATGAAAATTAATCATCTAATTAAAATCTACTCAGAAATTCTGGTATATTAACTTAAAATATGATTACATAATTCTTTGGTATACTGAATGAAAAACAGTTGATCTATTTAAATGACTTTTCCCAAGGCTTTTACATTCTGAAAAAATATACTGTGTCATCATGTCTCTATTCTGCAATAGTGGCATCATCAACCTTCTGTTTTATGAACAAAAATTATATTTTGTTATTCTTTTTAAGTGGAAAGAAGTTTGGTGTTGTGTTTCTGTTCCTGCACAAATTTAATTTCTGCTATAAATATTGCTGTTACTGTAGTAACTGCAGTTTCTGTAAGGAGTGAGTCAGTGAACAACCTCCTTTCTTTCCCAGTGACTAGTAACCATGTGCTGATAGCAAAACTTTCAAAGTCTAAAGTAACGTTTTTTAAAAATAAGTATGAAAAGTTAAATTGGCAGACATAAATTTTAAAAATAAAGCTATTTAAGCTTTATTTTTTATTAAGCTATAAGGATGTATTTGCTTGCAGTAATTTATTTGTTCCAGATTATTTTGACCGTTTTGTGAGTTCGTCATTTTCAAAGTAACAGCAAACCCTAAACTTTAAGGAATGCTTGCGTAAGCAACTGGGCAGTTGGTCTGATTTTAATACATTGGAAAACTTATGAGTTGGGCATATCTCTGAATATAGCTACAGTCTTCTGAACCCATATAGGGGTTGTTATGCAGAGAACACTGCATTGCTTTTCTATCTTTCTTCTTGACTAGAACCAGCCTTATATTTACTTTTAGTTTTCAAGCCAGTAATAGCTATGTTCTTGAAATCAAAACCCCAGATCTAAACTTTTTGAACAATCACATTTTGCTGGCTGTTGGGTCAATGTTCACAGCTTAGGTCTTGAAAATGTCATTAAATGCAATTTATGAAGACTTCATAAGACTTATGAAGACTTAGTTTTATGTATTGCTGGGAGGCCTGTGTGCATTTTTTCATGGAAGAGTCTGGAATGAAGCCAGATATGTGAAATCAGCAGTGCAGATCTTCTCCAATAAAGGATACATGGAATTAGTGTTCATGGTTGCTCAGGATGATGTGTCATAAAATACTAAATAATGTTTTGGAGGACTCTTACTGAGACTTTTCTACAAAAAGGATCGAGTGCTCCTGAAATAACTAGGAGACTGCAACAAATCCTAAGTCTGAAGACTAAGGCTTCGGACTTAGAGTAAGGAAATAGGGAAGAACAGAACAATCCCAAAAGTGGGAAGAGAGAGAGGCATGGGGAGGGGGAATACTCAACAAAAACAGAAAAGCACATCTTCAAATGCCTGTGTCCATGTTTAAAGGATCAAAATGATTGATGGAAACATCAGTGCCAATGTTAGTGTTCTCTGAAACTCATTTTGTTGGATTTTTTTTTTTTTTTCTTTTGGAAGTGCTTTCTGGGATGAACTTCTCATTTGTTTCTGTTAAATCTAGTTTATGTCTGTTTATGCCACTTACTATAAGCAACTGATAATTAT